AGATCGCGATGCCAAAGACGGAATATAACCCAATAAAGATCGCGTCCAGGGAGAAGGAGACGACGGGTGAAGCGCGGGAGCGTGCAAAATGGCAGTACTATTATGGCCAGTTGAAGACGCTGCTCAAGACGGACCCAGTGTTCAAGATATTAAGGCCCAAGGTGATTGGTCCTCTGGATAAGCCGATCTCGGTCCCACTTCACGGGACCAACAAAGTCGACGAGATCAATTTGATTTTGCAGATGTTGGACGACATGGGTATCTGCCCTGACGCTTTTGATGGAGATGAACTGCTGAGTTGCAGCTTGGAACAGTTGAAGGACGCGGCGGATGAGTTTGTAGAGATCATGATAATGCTGGTGGGCAAAGCGAATACTCCTGAAGACAAGATCGGGACGCCCTCGGGCTCGCTCTGTAAACACCCCGCGGGATCGCCCCGCTACGCCTCGGATGACTCCGAGAGCGAGTCAGATGGATCCATCAGCATTCGTCAGATGTCTCTAGGACCATCGGGTGGAAGGTTCTTAAAGGACAAGATCGGACAAGCCAAGATCGACGCCTATAAGGGACAAGCCAAGAGCAACATGCCGCAGAGATCGGCCAGTACCCGCACTGGGCTGGAGGATCAAGAAGAGGGCGATCTAAGTCGGTACTTCAATTCAGCCATGAAGAAGTACGAGGCGGATCAACGTACAGCTCAGCGAATGAATCGACAGCCAAACCGCTACCCAGATCGACGTACTTTGCTCCAACCTTCACACGAAAGCCTTGACATGCCGGATGTGGAGATGGAGTCGCTGGGGTCGGACATTTACCAACATATCCATGAGGCGGCGGAATACGACCCGGATGATCTATGGATGCCCGAACCACGGCGCCCTCATGTAGCCGCGACCGGTGCGACTACCGGAGGGGGAAGCATCACGCAGAGGATCAGAATCTCAGCGATTTCTGAGCTGAAAGAATTATCAGGGAAGGATCGGGAAGAAGACAAAGCACGGACCTGGATCGGCAAAGTGAAATCAGCGTTTATCCGGGACCAAGCACCGGACGAGGAGAGATGTCTGGTCTTCGGTGATCTCATGGTGGGCCCAGCCCGCTACTGGTACCGACAGCTGAGTAGATCGACGAGATTCAATTGGAAAGAATTGATGAACAGTTTTCTTGTGGAGTATGCGGGACACGGGATGTCCGCGAGCAGGCAGTACTACCATGCAAAGAAACGATCGGAGGAAGATCCTTTACAGTACCTGTATCGGCTTAATGTGATGGGAATGCAGGCGAAGATACCGGTGATGACTGGATTGCCAGCTGCGCGCAAGGAACATGTCAATCATTTCATTGACACCTTGGACGACCCCGATCTGTCCAATCAATTGCTACTGCTGAATGTAGAAGACGCGGAGGCCATGCAAAAGACACTGCACGGATATCAACAAGGGAGATCGCGTCAAGGGAAAGTGATGATGGGATCGTCCAAATTCAGACAGAAGGGAACTCAGGGTCCAGCGCTGTCTAAGCCTGCACGAGCGGTAAGGATGGTCCGTACCGAGGACGTCTGCAGCGAGTCAGGATCAGACACCTGCGGATCGGATTTGGAAGATCGATTGAGATCGATCCATGTGGCTGCTACTGCGGATCGCCGTTCATCCCCCAATGACGTTGCAGCAAACGCGAGATCGGTCGACCCGAACACTCGTCAAGACTATCAAGACCGCAATGTGCCAGTGAAGCCGTGTACTCATTGCGGATCGACCAAGCATGGAGATCTCGGTTGTTGGAAGCGGCTCACTTGCCAGAAGTGTGGGCGTAAAGGACACCCCTCTGACAATTGTTTTTTCGTGTGTCGTGCTTGCGGTGAGATGCACGACCCGGGGAAGTGTCCCATGGAGGAGTTCTACAACATGATCCGTCAGTGGTACGTCCCAAATAAGCATGCGGGGATGCTACCAGAGAAGGCCGAGAAGATGTTAAACTAGGACGCTCGCCAGGTTTGAATCTGGTACGAGCCGAGCGTTCTGGGCTCTGCATTATTGCATACGTGGAAAAAAAGAAGACAGATCGCGAGAGTAAGCAGGATATTGACGTGGAAACAAATATATCTCGTTCGAAGTTAAAACGTGTCGCTTCCGTGTCCCATCTGAAGCGGATCGATGAGTACTCACGATCTGAACCAGCTATGGAGATCGAGATCGCTTATGGTGAATCTCGCGGATACTGGAAGCATTATTCACCCGGGAAGTGGTTCAAACAAGCGAAAGCCGTTGGCAAGATCAACAACGTAAAAGCTACTCTGTTATTTGATTCTGGTGCTGAAGTGTCGATCATTGACACCACCTTTGCTCGTGAGGTCGGTTGCAATATTGACGAAAGTCAACGACAAGAATGTATCGGGATTGGAGAAACTCCGTACATGACGGTAGGACGTACCAAGATCAAGGTGACCCTCGCGGGATCGCTGGTATACTATTTCAAGGTATGGGTAGGCGATCTGGCAGGGCAAGAAGCGATTCTGGGAATGGATTTTATGGTGCCTGCTGGAGTGCGGCTCGATCTAGCGGATGGCGCGCTATGTCTACCAGAAGAAATCCGCATTCATCTCGCAGGACTTCGCCCCGCGTACGGATCGAAGATACAACATATAACGGCGAAGGACCAACACGTGGTGATCCCGGTCGGAGAGTCAAGGGAAGTGAAGATCGGGATCGGAGGGGCTAAGATGAAGTTGTGGGTCGCTAGAGGACTAGATTGGGTCCCCACTGTGATCTCAGGGTGGGGTAAGACGAAATATCTGCAGATGACCAACATTGGCGACCGTGAGATCATACTGCCCACCCACACTATATTAGGCATGTGGGTCGAAGGCGATATGGTACCGCGAACCCAAGGTTTGGTGACAGTCGGGTCGGGGAAGTACAAGGAATGGCAAACTCTGGCATATGAGGCTACGACGGATCGAGTGAACGAACTCCCGAAAGAACCGATCGGACCATTGGTAGATCGTCCTACGTATGCCGCTCCCAAACGCATCTTGAAACGTCCGTCTGATGCGTTACAGAACCTGTCTCCGGCGATCTCCACGGTAACGCCGCAAGCTAACGATGACGATTCGCAAAAGGCAGATGCTGTAGTTGCGAGGGAAGTAACGGTCAGGGGAGCCGAACTATCGCGGATGGAGAACGGTCATGAGATCGGTACCCAACATGCAACGAAGGGAGACCGCGACACCGGGCAAGAAGGGCTACGTGACAGATCGTCTCTACCGAAGGCTGAGCCGACTGACCGACTGTTGAAATTGGGCCAGCCGGAAGAGACGAAGGAGCCTAAAGAAGAAATAATGCTAAATACTGAAGACGTCGAGATTGCAGAAATACCAGTTTATCACCACGAGAGCGGAGATTTGTTTGCGGAAGATATCGAGCAGCATATGGCCGTGCTACCAGAGATGTCGGCGACTACGGAAGAAGTTACGATTGAGGACATTCAGATCGGTGATCCCGATGTGCCTCTCACCACAGATCAACAACGGCTCAGATCGCTGATCTGGAAGAGCCGTCACCTCCTCATGGGTAAAGGTAATGCTCTACCACCAGCAGCACGAGGCGCGATCTGTGATATTGATGTCGGTGGGGCAGCACCGATAGCGCAAATAGTGCGTCCGGTCGCACCCAAGTATCGGGAGAAGCTGTCAGATCTCATCAAAGGACTATTAGCAGCCAAAATCGTTCAGCCATCCACGTCACCTTGGGCGTCTCCGATAGTGGTGATCATCAAGAAGAACGGAGTGGATATTCGCCTTTGCATTGATTATCGAAGAGTGAACCAGCTGACGCGTCTGATGGTTTATCCCATGCCGTTGATCAGCGATCTGTTGGAAGATCTGGATAAAGCTCTATGGTACTGTTCGCTAGACATGGCTAGTGGATTTTGGGTCGTCGAAATGACTGAACGAGCGAAACTGATCTCAGCGTTTGTCACGCCGTTTGGCTTGTTCGAGTGGCTGCGAATGCCTTTTGGGCTTAAGAACGCGCCCCAGATCTACCAACGTCTGGTGGACAATGCGTTGTATGGATATCTCAAGATCGGCCAGAGATCATCTTCTGATGGCCCGATCGACGTGTTCAAAGATGGAGAACCTGAGACAGATCGACGACCGTCTATACTGGGACGCCGATCTTACATTGACGATATTCTCATACCAGCCACGTCATGGGGATCTTTGTACACAAAAGTAGAACGGTTGCTGGAGGCATGTGATAAGTGGAATCTGTCTATCAGCCTCACGAAGAGCTTTTGGGGGTGCCGTAAGGTCGATTATTTGGGACATCGAGTGTCGATGGATGGTCTGGAGGCTCAGCCCAAGAACCTAGAGTCGTTGGTTAACATCCCGTTTCCTAGCACTCTACGAGCTATGCAATCCTTTCTCGGGAGCTTGAACTACTACCGTCGCTTCATTGAGGATTTCGCGGTGTATGCCGCGGTGTTGTATGAGTTAAGAGAATCGGATTTCTTCGAGATCGGCCGATCTCAGCTTGCAGCAGGAGACGAATGCTCCAACGAGGGTCGATGGACGGAAGCCAAGGTTGCTTTCACTATGCTAAAAGCTAAGATAGCTACAGCTCCCATGCTCAAGCATTTCGACCCAGATCGGTCCCCCGTAATCGTGGTCTACGCTAGCAAGTGGGCTGTCTCAGCGGCCCTGATACAGAAGTACGATGGCGTGTACCATCCGGTGACGTTTACTAGCCGCACTTTAAAGCCTAATGAGCTTAACTACGGAACGGTAGAAAAAGAAGTGCTGGCGCTACTTCGTGTGTTGGATGTATGCTATACTACGCTTGCCTCGCGGGGAGATCACTGTACTGACCCGACATTCTACGTTAGCCTGGTTGATGCAGTCTCGAGGGCTCAACGGGAGATTAGGACGGTGGGCTGCTTTGTTGTCAAATTGGACTATGGAGGTGAAGAAATGTGAAAGAGGAGAGTAAGAGATCCTGGGCATGTTAGCAGCGAGTATCACTCCGAGAGGAGAGGTGGAAGAGATGCTGATTGCGATCTCCCCACGAAAAGACTGTCGACTCAAAATATCGATGCCTCCTCCAACGGTGGAAACAGATGAGGAGTTGCTGGTGGCCAGTTTCGATGGATCGGCTAGGATAAAAAAGAAAGGAGGGTCGTTCAGTGCCGTGATATGGAAGTTACCCGAATGGACGATCGTGGCGGCCGAATCGAGATATGTTCACGATCTGACTGTGAATGAAGCTGAGTATAATGGCTTGCTACTGTGCTTTGAGTTACTCGCCGATCTGGATAGGGGGCGAGTAATACTGTGTGGAGATTCCAGTCTGGTGATTCGACAGATGCGCGGTGAGATCGACTGCAAGGCACCGGGCCTTCAGCTTCTGAGACACAAAGCGTTGGAGAAGCTGCAGTCTTGGCCTAGTCACGAGTTTCTGCATATGAAGCGAGAGTGGAATCAGAGCGCAGATCGACTAGCCAGCACAGCATTGCAGAGCGAAAAGGGAAGAACGGTTGTAGCTGAAGAAGATCGGCAAGATCTGATGACTCTGAACCGTCTCGATGAATTGTTGAAGCCCAAGCAAGATGGTCAGCTGGCTCGGGTAACTGCGATCACGAGATCAGCCAGGAGGATACGTCATGAACCTGAAGTGATACAGGAGGAGATAGTACAGAGGATCAGGATTCAACGAATTGTCCAAGCTCAAGATGAAGAGCGTTGGATTGTCAATCTCAAGACATATCTAAGTGGCGATGTATCAAACTTGGATGCGGTAGAAGTGAAGATGTGCGCCAAACTGGCGCCGGAGTACGAGATCGATGAGAACAATCTGCTATTTTTTTGCCCCACGGCGAAAAGAGAGTCAGAAGATCGCGATGGCTTGATGCGGTTGGTGATCCCTGAGACGTTGCAGCAGGATTTTTTGCATCACTATCACACGAGTCTGGAAGGAGGCCATCAGGGTATTGGCCGAACCTATCAGAGGATCAGATCGCGATTTCATTGGAGAGGACTGTATCGGAGCGTTCAACGATATGTGGGCGAATGTACCGACTGTGAGACCGGGAAAGGAAACCCGATGATTCATGGGAAATCCCCGGGCAATCTACACGCAACCTATCCATTCCAGATCATCGCCATGGATCATATACCGTCGTTGCCCAAGTCCATCAAGGGGAACTCCGAACTGCTCATTTGGTTCGACCTTTTCTCGGGATATGTGATTGCAAAGGCTAGCTCCTCTCGGACGGCACAAACAATAGCGGAGAATTACGAAGAATGTGTGTTTCGACGCTTCGGAGCTAGCGAGGCTATCAGGCACGATCGAGAACCGATATTTATGTCCGACTTCTTTCGAGCCTTCAGTCGGATCGTAGGACAAAAACAGCGTGCTACTATGGCTTACAGGCCACAAGCAAATGGAACAGCCGAACGAATGGTGCAAACCCTGACACATTCGCTCAAGATGTACGTGGCTGAAGTTGACCAGCGAGACTGGGATGAGTATGCTGAGCGGCTCACATTTGCCATTAACACTGCACAAGATCGGATCCGGGGGGATACCCCATTTTATCTGATTCATGGGTGGGACCCGCGATCGACTTTGGAGGCTACGCTACCAGTGGGGAATACGGGGACACGAGATCGCGATCCAAAGAGGTGGAGATACAAAATCCAAAGACAATACCAGCGAGCCCGATCTGCAGTGAACGATCGTTTACAAGCCGCGATCCAGGAGCGAAGCGGATCGACACAACGAAGATCTGGAACCACACGAGATCGAAGTAGGAGCGCAAGTTTGGCTATACCTGGACCGAGTTAAAGAGGGATATGCGAAGAAGCTAGCGCACATGTGGCATGGGCCATTCCGAGTTGCGGACGTATGTGGAGATCATGCTGTAAAATTGGAGATCGCTGGAACCCCATATCGGTTATTTCCGATTGTACATATATCGAAGCTAAAAAAGGTAAAGACGTTCCCTGAACGCCCGAAGGATCAGCTTACGATAGAGGAATCAGATCGCTTGGATTTCGATGAAGCTCTGCTGCCAGAAGACAGTTGGGATGGCGATCTTACCGAAGGGGAATACGAAGTAGAGGCAATATTGGACGTGCAATCTGGTAGAAAAACCCGTTATGGGCGAGTACACCGGCAGTTTCTGGTGAAGTGGAAGGGATATCCCGATCTAAGTTGGGTGGACGAGGCCGATCTAAGTTGTGGGGCGATCTTGCAAGAGTTTGAGCGGAACCGAGTGAGTCGAAACCGTTTCGACGTAATGCAGTCTCATGAAGGCAATTCGGACGAACCTTAACAGTTCGAACAAGTATGCGGGAGGTAGCATATGCGGATGTAGGGGTTGAAAGATGTGCTAGACGGTAGCACATGCTGGTGGATGAGGTTTTTGTATGTGAGTATGGAGATAGTCAAGTGAATTACCTTCCTGAATGATGTGGAGCGATGAGGATCGAGATCGTGGAAGCTGCAAGGAATTGAAGTACCAAAAAGAAGATGATTGAATGACTTACACGATTATGAAAGACGATCGGGCTTGGATATCGACCTTGGACTAAGACGATGGAGCAGGTTTGAACTTGTCCTGCAGACGAGGGATCTGCGATCCGGGATGATCTAAATGGCGCGGAGACCCAGGCCGATCGGGGACCGCTGGGGTGTGTCCTCCGAGATCGGGCGATCTGGGCGACAGGTCGCGATCCGGAGACAGAAACATGGTGGGTCCTTCTGATGAGATCAGCGAGGTGGGTGGATGCGTCGGAGAGGCCATGAGACGGACTTGAGTGCTTGAAACGAAGATGATGAGTGACTGTACTGAGGTCAATTGCTGTACAAAAGACTTCAGTACAGGGGGCGGTTGTGGCAAAGTCACTACTCAAATTTTGTACGAGGATCGGTGGCCACATCTTTAAAGCGCCGCTTACTGATGGAAAAGGAGGCCATGAGACTCGGCGATCCAATACGGAGGTGGAAGATGATCTTAACGGGATCGGCGAACCGATCCAACTGTCGTTAGACTAATGGGTATGGATCGACCTGGGACGGAGCGATCTGGAACGATTTACATGGAACAATCTGGGACAAGGATCTGGGACCGGGTGATGGGATATGACTCTGCGACGAAGGTGTAACTGTGGTAAAGTCACTAATCAAATGATGGGACGTGGATTGGTGTCCACCCAGTTAAGATGTCACCCACTGGCGGAAGAGGTACGCCTAGGACCAGGCGATGCAACGTGATTTGAGACGGGGCGTAGAAAGGGGTGATTCCAACGGTGCGATCTGGGACGAGGGACTGGATTGAACCGAACGACCACTCTAAAGGCTGATCAAAGGAAAGGATGTGGATGTTGAAGCAGAATCATTTGAGAAAAGTACGCCTGGGACCAGGCGATGCGACGTGGTTTGAGACGGGGCGTAGCAAGGGGTGATTTCCACGGTGCGATCTGGGATGAGGGACTGGATTGAACCGAACGACCACTCTGAAGGCTGATCAGAGGCAAGGATGTGGATGTTGAAGCAGAATCATTTTGATAAAGCATCGGAGTGCACACAATGAACGGAAGAACATATATGGCCGGATTGTACTGTGTCGATCCTCAACAATCTCGAATTGGGCATCAGATCGGTCATGATCCCCACTGATTATGGATGTATCGTTGATGAGAATTTTGGATCATGACAAACATGCTTGTTGAAGGTCCATGAGTGATGTCTCAAAAGTTCAGATCGAAAGAGCCAGTGGAAGCCGGTTAAATTGACGTCGCAAAATGGATTTAGACGCCTTCGGCATTTGGGCACTATTTTGGGCTTTTGGGTACCAAAAATGGGTATTTGGTACCCCATTTGGGATTTGGTCCTCTTTTGGCGTTCAGGTACGGTATCGGGAATATTGGCGCTATCATTGGAGTACAGGGCACGAAATTTCGACACGTGGCAAGGGGGCGATCCAGATTCAAGGCGATATCGGTTTGAAGATTGACCTATAGTTAAGAATAGGCTTAAGGGTAGGTTGGATAGTAATTTGGTTGGTTAATAAACAGACTTGAACTCTACTTCTTCTGCTCACGACGCACGTTATCCTCCCCTCTTCTCCAGGCAAGATTGATTTGGCTTCCCCGGCGGGTTAAGGCACGCGTGTTACAGGGACACAGAAGACCGATCTTGGATTGTTGGCCAAGATCGAGAAGAGCGATCCCGGGATATCTGGCCCGGATCGATCAAGTACTCACACTCAACTCAACTGCTAGGGTAGCAGCACACAACGGAAAAGGAAAAGGATTTTGGACACAGGATCGCGAGACGGCTCAAGTGGTCAGAAGATCTGGACAAGGCGTTCAAGACAAGACCGAGCAGGATCGAAGCGATCCCCTGGACAGATCGGCACGTTTCATTTTGGCGAAACAAGACACCGATCTACCCAAATTGCGCACTTCCGGCAAGATCGGCCGATCCCAAGACCAGATCGGACCGATCCCAAGGCAAGATCGACGCAGGACTTTTATTTGCTGAGTGAAGATTTCCGCACAGCAAAGACCCCGATCTCGAAGACAAATCAAGATCGGTGCGATCCAAGATCGGGATCGCAGAACCCCCGTTCGTGGTGTGAAGATTTCCGCACCGGAAGCGAACCCTCAACCCAACCTCTCAGCGAGATCGACATCTCCCAAGGCCGTTACGAAGAGCTCAAGCCAGCCCAACCGACGGGTACACAAGGTGAGCACAAGGTCATACAACAAGGCACGGATCGGAGTACCCCCTCCGTGAGTCGGCAAGTCTGGGCAAGTGGAAGATCGACACTCATACAAGCAATTTTGTGAGATCGACTTCACCACACTTGTACTGGTGACAGTACAAGCTACTTATTCTGATGACAGAATAAGGCGGTGCCTCGTAACTTTACGTACACTCGTACGTGCAGAGGAAGACGGTAAGAAGAAGCGAGTACTTGGTTAGAGTAAAAAGTAGAACTGTATTTAGTATAGTTAATGTCTGCAATAAATCACTATTTATCTTCATCTAACTATGTCTAAATACAAATGTGTAAATCAATGATCTGCTCACCACTCATTGCGTGCGTCTGTCGTGGCGCGTCTTCGTTGGTTGATATAATGGCCTATATCAACCAATTAGGAACTACTCGTAAGTACTACAGAATATTTGTCCTTATGACAATATTCTGAGAATATAACTCTTATAGTTATATTCTATTAACAATTTCTTATAAATTGTTATGTAGCGATTCACCCCGTTACATGTTCAGCACTCAAAATTCGATAAGCAAAGGCAGCAAGCTATTTGGCTTCGTGATGAAGAATACGAGTGATGTCATCTCGGAGTCTTCAATCTTCTCAAGCACCTCCGCGTCAAGAAGGCGCTAGATCTCGTCCTTGGTCTTGGTTTCCATCGAGCGAGGCAGTGCGTACGGACTTGCATGGACGGCACGGAAGTTCGGCGAAAGTGTAAGCACGTTGTCATAAAAGCGCATTTGACCCAAGTGACCGTCTTACAGTAGCTGATGATCCTATAAAGCTTTAGTACGCGAGCGGCGAGCGGTACCGGCAGGTGATCAGGCATCAAGCCGGTAGGATGGAAACCGTTGTCAACGACTTCCTTGCACTCGTCTGGAAACTCGCGATCACGATTGTCCGCGCGAACCGATGCTGTGACACTGCCACCCGTGTTGAGATACGTTTGGTGTCCGTCCCACTAAACGACTTTGTCTTTGAAGTTGAGCACAATTCCTAGCGAATCCATGAGATCGCGCTCGATGACCTCTCGTATTGGCTGTCGTTATTTTCTTTTAATCGATGAGTGGTTGTAGTCGTAGATTTGAGCTTGGGAAAATTGTTTATTCAATAACTTTAATTTCTAAGTATCTTCCTGTCTGCGTTAAAAAAATGAGTAGAAAGGTATAAGTGAATGAAAAAGAAATGAGTTCTACAACGTTGGACACGGCCTCGAATGCCGAATGGAGAACAGGCTTGCCAATTGGACGAGGACAATTGTGACGAATGCGCGGGTATACGCATTGTCGACGGAGTGGAGATACTTGTAATCCAGGCGCAGCGATTGTGTTCGGTGAACTTGGTATCCGCGAAGTGGGCAGTGTTGAACCAACTTTAGGAGTGTTGAAAGCGTCGGAGGATCGAACCGGCGTGGACAGCTTTTGAAGAGACAAGAGAGCTTCCAATCTTGTCGGCCAGTCTTGTAAGTAGATTGGGTACGTGGTGCGGGTAAGCGCCATATGAGTATGAAGTGTTCTTGAAGAAGCCTGGGGTGGGTGTATGCGTAGACAACGTACATTCGCTTATCGGTCGAACTTGATCACTGAATGCGGTCGATTTGTGGCTTTCCCATCTACGTGGGGGAAAAGCAATCGGCAACGTCCCGGTATCCAGAGCCATCTGTCTTAACAGAAGGACCCCACAACCGTACATAGGCTATAAATTGGCCTCGCGACGAACGTGCGTGGCGACTTGTTAAGCGCGGGTGGCAAGGTCACGTATAACCGACTTGAGAGAGTTGTGAGTATAACTGGCTTGCCAGTATCAACTTATGACAATCAAAAGAAGAGCCAATACGGACTACCGATTCAAAATGGAGCCGCCTTGACGTGGCGGATCGGCTTTAAAACCAAGAGCTCCATACCCCAAAGAAACAGACAACCAAAAAGGCTGTCTCAAAGCTTAGTGCTTTCGCATCGCAAACGCGCGAAAATTAAAATCAAAGCATATTGCTTTCGCACCGTATAAACGGTAACAGAAGAAAATCACCAAGGCGAAACCGTGAAGTCAAAAATCAAATAAATTGCTTGAATCCAGTAGTGGTCATTCGTCGTTGTGAGAAGTGGTAGGGCTGGTTAAAGCAGACAGTGAAAGTCGAGGCGTAAGCGCCAACAACAGTCGCAGCATGCCTTGCCAATTAGTGTGGACCGCGGTAGACTTCAATTTTCGTAAGTGTAAGTCCACATAGGCGAAGCAGTGATGCCGGACAAATCCTGCATTAGTTGAAGTCTCGGGGTTGTAGAGTCGCTTGTTGCGATGTAGCCATAGAGATCGAAAGACGCAGCAGCGAACAATATTGAAGACAATCAATAGCGCTCGCGCACCAAACAACTTGATAGTAGACGGTAGTAGTCGTAGTGTAGATGGGAACAGTATGTTCAACCAAGTAATGTCACCATCCAACAAGTCCCGAAAAGGTAGTAAGTAAAATTCCCATTGAAAAGAAGCCACTGGGCAAAGCCAAAATAAGTGTATGGCAGTTTCCATTGCTTCGCAACCATGAATACAAGTGGAAGTAGTATTGACTTCCGTTCGCCACCGAAACTTGTAGCGAAAACCCAATGCATTGTGTTGAAGCCGGTATTTAACATCCGCGGCAATAGGAAGAACGTGGCGATCCAAACCATATTCAAAATTCCACAGGTTGTCCGTTGGCGTAAAGTCGGCAATATCCAGTTGGCGTAAGGGTAAATTGGGGATCTTTTGGACGGGGCGAGCCTTCAAAAGAAGACGCACGAAGTCTTTGTTGGTCATATCAGTGACAAACTGATCACCAAAACTCCATCCATGGCGAGCCGATTCGACTATAGGCGGGAACACCGGGCCAAACAAAGGCGAATCATGAAAAGTGAGCAGATTAAGTCTTGGTACAACTTGCCGAATAAAGAGAGTCTTGAAAGCCGAACGCGAAAAACCATTGACGTTTAAAAGAGTGTCCATAAATCCAGGCGTAGCATACGAAGAAGAAATATATACAAAGTTCTGTTGTTGATAAAGATCTTGATTCATTAAGAGGGCATTGTGATTGGATAGATTGACCAATTGGCGTCGGATCGAGCCAAACAAAAGGTTGACATTATTCCAGAAAGGCGCTGTTTGTGAAAAGGCCTTCCAGTCTGAAGACTCAAAAAACATATGGAGATCTGTCCATAGTCGTATCGTATAATACCAGACTTCGGGAAGATAGTCCCATTTGCTTTCACAACCGCGTAGAAGATGTCGAATCCAGTACCTTGAGATCCAAGAGCCATCGAAAAGAGCGAAAAAGCGGGAGTCATCCAACGTGGTGCCGCGTAATTGCTGCACGTCACGGCTATAGCGTCTTCCAACGACTAACGATGCATGGCTTGAATAAACTCCTTGACAGGAGTAAGTCTAAATCCACCTTGACTAATACACGTGTAGATTTAGTCTTTAGAAAACTTGCTAGGACTAGCCGAGTCACTGTCGGCAGTCACGCCACTGATAAAGTTGCGTATAATGACATCCACGCTTTTCAGCATTGAAGCCTTAAAACAAGTCACGCTGGCAGCATACCAGAGCAGCGACAAGATATTACTCTGCAGAAGTACCACGAGTACCACGAAGTGTGCGTGCCTTGTATTTCCAAATGGCACAACGCGCGCGAAGCTCCAAAAGAATGTGGCAAAACCGTTCATCAGCCGTAATGGTGGAGCCTTGCAATATACCAAGTAATTTTACAGTGTTTGTCACGCCAAGAACCTTAAATGGGTAAGTAGCGCGCAGGTTATCCAGTTTAGATCGAGAGGCTCGATGCGAAAAAGGCATTACAGAAGTCTTGTCCACGTTAAGCCGAAGGCCTGCGGCGGTGGAGTAGTCGTTCACTAGATCCAGAGTTCCATCAGCATCATATATATCCTTCAAGAGTCCGGTGGAATCGTCGGCATACGCCAGAAGTAAGTGAGGCTCGAAAGAACCGTCGACTAAAATACCAAGATCTGAAAATCGAGCCCGCAGAAAGTTCACCATGGGCTCAATGAATAGGACGAACAAGCCAGGTGATAGGGGATCACCTTGGCAAACGCCGGCACCTAACACGAATGGAATACCCAGAGACCCATTTCGCATGATGCTGACCGATGTGTGATGATAAAATGTCTTGATCCAAGCCCGAAAAGTAGATCCAAAACTAAAGCGATGAAGCACTAAATCCAGAGCGGGCCACGAAACACTGTCAAAAGCCTTGGCAAAGTCCAACATCACAGCGCAAGCATCGTTATGATGAGTCTTGCAAAATTCTTGAAGATCTTGAAACCGAAGAAGTGAGTGTCGAATTAAACGACCTTTGATAAATCCAATCTGATCAGCGTGAATGAGATCCGGTAGCACAAGCCTCAGACGAAAAGCCAGAATCTTGGGACCGAGCTTAGCATCGTGATTAAGCAGCGTAAGTAGCCGGTAATTCGCAGGCAGTGTGCGATCACCCGACTTGTAAAGCAACGAGAGATGGGCACGTCGCTGAAACTTGTTCATCTGGCCGTTGTGTAGCTGATTATCATGAATAACTTCGAAGATGCGCGCCCAAGCGTGAATATTCACCTTGTAATACCTAATAGAAAGGCCATCAGGACCTGAAGTCTTTCCATTCTTGGACGTCAAAATCGCATAATAAAAATCATTTGCCGTAAAAGGCGCATTCATCATCGATACGTGAGTCGGTGAAAGGCGTGTCTTCGTGTCTTGAAGGTACTTAATTAGGCGAAGAGGCTGCTACGTGGCGGTTTGTCGATCATTTAGATCGGGAGAAGGCGACTGGAAAATTTGACCCCAAAATTGGCGATGGCCGGTGGCTATCGCTGTAGGGTCCTCGGTAAATATTCTATCGGTGCCTCGAAAACCAGTGATTGGAGACTGCATGCAATCTTGTTGAGGTGGTCGACAAAATGTGTAGTGGCGCATTCGCTGGAGTGTAAGTCGGCAGCAAATCTCTTGTACTGATTCCGAGCTTTGGCATCCTGTAGATGGGTTTTAAGCAGCAACTTGGACTGCTCCACCACTTCATAGCTAGGGTTCGTTGGTGTGGAATTGTAAAGATCTGAAGCATCATTAATTTGCTTGACGAGTACAGAAGCGCGTCTGTCACCAATGTCACGAAGTTCCAGCCATCGTCGCTTCAAAAATATACATTCCGCGCGCTTGTGTCCGTCCAATAAACAATCGGGATGGCACCAGGGAAAAAACCTTAATACGGCGTCCCAAGTTGTTCACAGATGTCCGAAGATAGTCTTGAACTGAAGCATTATCCAGAAGCCAAGTAGGGCAGCGCCAAGGGGGCGGCCTGCCACGCGCTACAATTTTCGCTCGAAGGCAAAATGTCACAGGACTATGATCTTCAGGATGCCACTTTCGGTCGCGTACGTGGCATACTTTATCCAAGTGTTCTTGTACCAGATCAACGGTAAGAAAGCAATAATCCAAGCGGTTCTTGCGTTTGGGGCTGGTGTAGTCTAGGCTGTCGGAATTCATTTGGCGCCAAGAATCCATTAAACCAAGAGCGTCCAGACAGACATGAAGATCTTCACGTCCAGCACCAGGATGATGGAGAGCAGGTAATTTTGGGTCCAGGTAATTATCCAAGGTGATATTGAAATCACCGACAACAATGTGTTTGACCGAGCATCCATATCAACGCCGTCAAACATGGTCGGCAGCAATCGAAAAATTCCCCGGGCTCGGAAGGTCCATCAGGAGCGTAAACCACGTAAATAAAGACTAGATCATCGTCCAGTTCGGCTTGAAGAAGAAAATAGCGATTCTTGAGCTGCGAGGTGCAGATGCTCGAAGTCAAATTGCGAACGTCTTGAAAAGTTGACGCAGAAGAAAGCACAAGCCCGACGCCGTGCCGCTCATTAAAAACAGGCGAAGTCGTATCGGACCAAAAACATTGGGCACCAGAATCCTTCGAAAAAGTGATGTGCTCATTCGTCTGGATAGAGTCTTGTTTGACGAACTTCGTCTCTTGAAAAGCCACTAGTCGGTATGTGGAAAGTAATCGCTCGTACATCGCCATTGGAGGATGATTTAATCCGTTGATGCTTAGCTAAATGCCTCTATAGGCTCAGGCACCTTTAGAGTTGAGCGGGAACAACTTGACTTGAGGCGGTCGCAGCCGCAGGAAGAGGAGTGTCCTTCAGAGCTTGAATAGAGAGACGAACATCGTCCGGGGTGCGGAGGTCTGTCAGAAAGACCGCCAAGACATCCGTTTGCGTAACACATTTCAGGTCTAAATCATTCCACAATAAAAACGGCGTCAATCGCAGACGCGTGCACGAATAGTTTCCCGGCATAAGCACCTCAAGCTTGACCGGATCGAAGTAAACTCCAGGCGCAAAAATCATCAAAAACAAATCACACTTGGACTAAGCTAAAGCAGCTCTGCGAGCCTCATCCGTGGGAAACACGGAGTCGAAAAGCTGAGCCAGAGACGCTCCCGGGCGACAAACTTGGATTGCAAGTAGGACAGTATGTCGTTCTGTCCATCAGGAAGACGAACGCCACGAGAAGCTCGAAAACCGCGTGTGTACGGTATGTCCGTTTAAGCCACTCCGTCGGAAGCTTGTATAAGTGGCGTAGATACGCAGGCTGCACTTACATTGCAGCAAGAAGATCATCATGCGAAGAGTGATTCATGACGTCTTTCGACACAAATTCCGCTATCAGCGCGTCCAGTTCCAGGGCCGAAATTTGTTGTCGTTTCGGCTTAAGCTTACGGGCGCCCATCAGCGCGTGAGCAGCACAGCGATTAACTAGCTCAGCGTCTTCAGAAAATCCAGCCACACTGTTGAGGTTCTCGTCGTAGACCGTAATGTCAACGTCCGGAGGCTGAGTTTCGTCAAATCCAGAATCCGTCAGAACTTCGCACGTGTTGTACACGTCAACCATCGTCGAATGCTTGAGCGTCGACAAGTCATCAGGAATCTCAGCGAGCGAGCACGGCATCAAGACAGTAGGTTTGCACGCAGGACCGGTATCCTGCGTAATCTCGCGGCGAGAATCTTGAATTAATTGCCAAGTTGGCGCGTCCGCCTCGCCATAGTCGAGGATAAGTAGTGTCGTTGGCGACCGAGTTGATGCGGGCGAAGGGTGGGGCCGATCTTTAAAAGCACGAACGGCAGCCTAAATAGAATTCCTAGGAGGTGGAATACCGGTATTCGACGAAAGAGACGCAACATATTTTATCTCCGTAGCCGCATCATCAAAATCATCCAAAGGAATTTCCCGCGAAGTAGCCACCTGGCCAAGCGAAGGAGGCTTGACACGGTTGAGCTTGCGAAGTTGATGTTGAACGAAACATGGCTTGTCTTCAGGATCGAAGTAAATCTCGCGAAGGGGTTAACCATTCTCGAGATAAAGACCGGCAGGTCACTGAACTGCGTGGAAGTACACCGTACGGTCGCGAGACTTTAGCTCACCCGCAACATAAGTTGGGGTGATAAGAACCGGACGAGAACCGCGGTGAGCGAACCAATTGTAGATGGCCCGGTCCGGCACGTCACCAGGAAGCCGAGTCAGATCCACGAAGTACAGTTTGTCGTACTTCGAATACTTGCGGATGTGTACCGTCGAGCCGCAGACCTGCAACGCCATACCAACCAAAGAGTGCAGAGCCGCGTTGGACGTGCAGAGAAAGGAAATTCCTTGGTACGGAATCCGGACAAAGATGCGCAAAGAAGCCCGGTGCGCCTGCCAAATGGCTGGCTGAGAGTCCCCCGCCAATGATTGGAGGATCTTGTCCGTGATATTCTCAGCCGACAGGCGCGCCGCGGAAATCCACATGCGCGTGCACTGCACAACTTTAACAAGCGTAGGCAGTTGCGTTCTCGCCTTGAAGAAGCGATCGTCATCCGTCGAAGAGTTGTCAATAATCAGCGAGTAGCTGGCCGTAAACAAACTGTCGTCAGGGACGAAGCGATGGGGCGGCGTTGGACGACGTGGCCCTGAAACTGCCGGGCGACCCGAAGAGCGCGGCGGCGGCGTAGGGCGCGGCGGCGAAGAACGCGACGGCGAAGACATGGTCTTGAACGAACGAAGAATTAGCGCAAACTTGACCGACACCTCTTCCGCGAAGAAGAGAGCCGTACGAAGAAAAGCGTGACGAAGCAGTCAGTCGAAAAGACTGGCTGGTAGCGACTCGAAGTTCTGTGTGTGCGTAGAAGATGCAAAGGGGTCGAGAACGATACGTGCTCGACATGGTACATAGGGAAGTGTAGGTTTGAGCTTGGGTAGGTTCATTTCTACCCGGGGAAGTTTCACATGTTGTTCCTCAACTGCCCAGATACCTGCTATCAGTAACTTACAGGAATTGCGACTCGGTGGCGTACCAGTCGGTGGTGCGGTTTAGATTCGTACCTTGGCGGGTGCGCTGCACCCGCCAGGGCTTGAACCCGCGCCTCCCGGTCAGAACAGCCGTGGCTTAACCACTGCACCGCCGGGATCGGTTTGGGCTTGGGGGAGCGAAACTAAATAATCGTGGAGCTGCTGTTCGTCACGTCGCCGCCAACTGTCTTGGAAATTGTAGATGAAGAAGAAAGCTTGCTTCCGTGCTTGATGTAAACGTTCATCGTGGTCGCATTGATGATGCTCTTTGGGGCACCGCTATCGAACAGAGCGTTGGATGCGCGGTTGTCGTGTTGAATCTGCATTTTTTTAAGCGCAGTGACGCAATCTTGTTAGCTGGCTCTTTTTCTCTAGCAAGCCGATCAGCTTGATCTCATCTTTGCTGTCAGTTAACTTGTAGATGCGAGGGTAGTTATTTGTCGGCTGATTTGGCTGGGATTTCACTCGCTTGTTCTCATCCTGACGCTGCTTCTTAAGGACGAAGCAGTCAACGGAGTCGTGCGAGTCGGTCTTGTGGAATGTATACCACCTGCCTTTGGGATATGGATTCGGCGTACTGTTGCCCATGCTCTTGGCGCCGTGCTTCTTCTTACTGTGTTTGGACTTATGTTTGTTTGTGTTTGAGAAGCGAGAGGCTTTTGATGCCGGTTTGGTTTTTAATGCTGTTTTTGTGCGACTTGCTCTAGCTGGTGACATTCTCACTCCTCTCAAGACTCTTTGAGTACAGAAAAATCGCCGTTGGCTTGTCGTAGTGGTCGCCCGCGGATGCAAGTTTGTCTTGACAGTCCATCGGCCTGGCTCGATTGAAAAATCGGCATTGCTGCACCTTTAAAATGATTTCGGCATTCGTTATAAGCTTCGCGATGAGGAGCACGAGCTCCTTCAAACGGTGACTGAGAGCTTGCACCGTCTCTTCGCGTTGCTTGGTTAGTGACCACAGCTCTTCTTCGAGGTCCTCGCTGAAGTCGCCAGGAACCATCAGCATGCCGATATGGTTGTAGAAGTCCTCGAACGAGGCATTCGCTTCGACTGCTTAAGAAGGGAGCTTCTAAACGTCTTGTCGAAGCTCTCCTTCGATGAGGATCCTGGTCTGCCTAGCTCCTTTCTTTGTGGACAAGTGCTTCCGCGCAACGAGGCTCGTAAAGTGCATGCTCCACTTAACCCAGCTCTTTATATTCACCCCGTATAACTTAGGGACCTTGACCTTTGTGGTGTCCATGGGACGTCGTACACGGCGAGCCCTCACGACACACATGTTAGCAGTAGAGAGTATCAATAAAGAGCCACGCGCTATCGCTAGCATTCAATTCGCTCTCACTTTTACTACACACCCCAGAGTTGCCTTCCATCAAGCTCCTCTGGCTTGATCAATCTCTATGCCAGCCAAGTGCCTGTAATAATAATTATACTCACGAATAGCTACGTACGTGCGCCATTTCTGCATTTGATTCTACGCGTTAAGGACCTCAACGCTTCGTTCGGGCGCGCTTTGTGACGGAACTATACGGGCTACAAGAGCAATAGGAGATAAAGACGAAGACGGACACGTTCGGGTTCCGCTGTGGGGACGAAGTGCGTTTCGGGTGTTTGCCAACATGACAGTGCGTGATGATAAGGGCTGTTCCATCTTCAACATCTGTGCCTCCTACGTACTTGTCGCGTGTCTGGACGTGCTGATTGCGTATATCGACACAAATTGACATACCGGCGGCAAAATTAGAGAGAGATGTAGTAGGGGATGTTTAAGAAGAGAGCGAGGCGAGCGAGCAATAGAGATGGTAGCAGCTGACACGCTGGCGTTGGTGGCAGTTTGTGTTGACGTACTGTAGATTCCTGCAGTAGGTACTCGTGTTGGTTTGTTGATGATGATGCCCGCAGTGGGTAACAAACACTAATCTCGAAGCGTATGTGTGGGTCGCTCATTTGCTGTAACGGGGTCACATAAACAGTTCATGTATTGAGTTGTGTGGCTAACGCAAGATGATATCAGCGAGGAGCGGAGTAGTTAATAAGCCTAGTCGGATGACCTCTCTCTCCTACTATCACTTTACTTTTTGCTCTTTTCCGACTGATTTCAAGTATTTTAAACGACTGACTACGATGCTTCTTCTGTTTTGACAATGTTAGCTGTCGCTGCGGGTAATAATTCGGCCGCGTTAATTGTGAAGGCACTCAGCTTCTACGTCAATTTTTTCAGCAAATAAATGGACGCACTGACGCACTGTGAAAGGCGACGGGTCAGTGGAGTAAAGCGACAAGACATTAGAAAGCAGCGACGAGAGGTCAGTAATCGACTTTCCGTGACTCTCTGAAGCGAGCTTGTCAAAGTTTACTGAGTTGGCAGAAGTTCACCTCTCAGGAGGGCTGAATGGGATGAAGAAGTCCACAAGTACCAAGTCAAAAAAAAACTTGAATACCTAAAAGGCCCCAGCATGCAGCATTTGAGGGCATTCCACTCGCGTCTTCTTAAAGTCGATCCTGACACGCAAAAGACTTCGATTGCGGCGCTGACGAAGACTTACGGTGATGACTCCGTGTTATCAGCACTAGATGAAGCAAAGAAATGTGATTATGCGAAGGTACGATAGATCGCCAATTGGTTTCTGGTGCAGCAGCTAGAAGGTTGGCAGAAAACTAAAGTGTCGCTTGCTGCTGTTTTAATGTTGCTCAAGATTGACTTAGGTCACTGGGCGACAATCGGGCGTCTTTGGAACAACTCGTCATATCTCACAATTTGAAGGGTTCCGACAAAACCTTTCTATTTAATTGGTTGACGTCAAGGCTTGGAGGTGACGGCAAACTGGCATCGGTATTGGTGAAGAAGCCAAAAGTGACGCTTTTACGAGTGCGAAGGCTTTATAGGTAAGAGATCTGCTTCTTGTGAGGTGAAACTTGAATCTTAGCCCAGTAGATGTCATGGATCGGCTGCAGCTGACTAAAACGAAAGACGACATTACAAGCCCGAAGATAGCAAAATTCATGATGTACGTTGTCAGAAGTGACGCAGAGGATGTAATGCGTGAAAGATTGCCACTTTAGAATACTACAGACAAATTTGGGGCTAGACTCGTCGCGGTGGCTTTGGTCAGGGCAAGAGGCGATATTTTGAAGCCGCACGTAGAAAAACTGTAAATGCATTTATTTGAGAGCTGGCTAGCGAAAGGCACATCACCTGTTAATGTTTTCAAGTTTCTAAAAATGGGTGCTTCAGAGTCGACAGCATGTTTTGATCAGCAAGTGGATTGTTAAAAGACTTTAGCAAGATAGACAAACTGGTGTGTACCGGTCACACCAGTTTGCTCGAAATCAGGACTCCATGCTGTGGTAACGAGATCAGGTTGGTATTTCTGCTAGGGATTGTAAGTAAACGTCTTCGTGCAAATTTAAAAGGTACGGAACTGAATACACTCCTGCTTGAAAAGTGGAGAGAAGCGAAATTGAGACCATAGCTATCGTTAGTTGGTTCGGTCTGGACAGAACTGCAAATAGTTTGATAGACGAAAACTGGGGACGTTAATAAAGTACACCGCTTTGCTCAATGCTGCGAAGGTAAGCCATGGATTCCTGCTGTTCGAAAATTTACATGGCGCTTCGGGGTGAAAGCTCTGATAATTTAGATCTTATAAAGGTGGCTAGATCTTAGTTTAGCAGTTAAGTATGTGTTTCTATTTCCGGAGATGGGCAACATAGAGCCTTGGATATCTTACGAATAACACTTGCGGTTATTGAAAATCTTTATTAAGCATTACAACGTTAACAAATCGGACTATATCACTTTGTTTCTATTCGTGAAGTCAAGATGTGTAGGTAAGCATGTATTAGCGCGTATTCAAGTGCAGGCTACGCCACATAGAGGCCAGAATAAGTAGGCCATGTTGCTGGATACACTGCTACATAAGAATAGAAAAGAGCAAAATCGATGTCAAAAGCCGTCGTACTCCGGCTAAATTGCTATAAACGTGGCATAACTGACAAGCCCGAAGCTACCATTAGTCATAAAGTACATCACGAGGTAAATGCAAAGCAAAGGTTGCGTCCGATTTTTCTACTTTAATTGTTCGAGTTGCTCTTTGAGGAAGAAGCTGTGATTGGGGCAATGATGTGAGCAAGGGGTAATTGTGGCGCGAAAGTAGACGTATAGAAATTGGAGGCACAGCTCTTGAAGAGCTGGCTACTTGGTGATATAGCGGCTGAAGATGTGTTTATGTCGCTGGAGATAGGTAATTAAGGGTCGATGGAATTTTTTTGATCAATAAGTGGGGGTGTCGAAAGCCTTTTTATAGCTTTATTAAAATGAAAAAATACAGTGTGTCGATTTCTCCTGGTCGTGACGTCAGGTTCTGGCGGTGAGGATAAGCTGGCATGGGTCATATGGCTGGCTGCAGACAATTAAACTTTAAGCAAGAAAGCACTGGAGTTGGAAACACTGCTTTTTAAAAATGGCAAATCAAGAAGTGACACCCAAGATGTCGTGTGGCCGCTAAAAATGACTAAGATTGAATACATGACATACCCAAAAGTAAAGTTTTTTATGAATTTTATGGCCATGCTTAAGGAAAGAGGATTCAACGACCGAGCTGCCGGTGGCAAGAATGATTACGACGCTTTTAGGAGACAAAGCTGTCACGAGCACTTTGACGAAGGTGATGGCGCTAGACTCTTCTGATCCATCAGTTGAGGAAGTAGAAACAAATTTTCTGAGGAGCTCTTTAGCTGATGGTGAAGCCTTTGACGATGTTTTCGAAATACTGAAGCTTAAAGAAATGGAGTCGATAGCATTTTTTTAACAGACATTCCGCGCGCTCAGAAGCTATAAAAACATGCCAAAGAAGAAGTGCCCATCGTGTCAATTTTCTCACGGCCATGGCTTCGGCTTTGGTGTTGTAAACAAGTTGGTGTTTACTTTAGCAAATGCAGCAATTAAACAACTCATAGCTAATTATTTTTTTGTAAGATTGATCGTTGCTTACATTATGGACAACTGAGGATTGTCGCCAGGAGATGTCGTAAATCGAGTGGTCGGAATGATAGAAATATTGACATAACGAATATCTGAGATAGCTAACAAATACGATAGCATGATCGACAAAAAGGATCCCGAGCGTAAGACCTTGGTGATTAACATTTTAACAAAGCGAACAAGACTAAAGCTGTGGTGAAGGAATTGATGAGGGAAAGGGGGGTCGACTTGTCGGACGTTTGCGTGTCTTACCACTTAAAACCATTATAGAGCTGGTTTAGCGCGGCAAATCACCTGAGGAGGTATTCGTGCTACTTAATATCACAAAAGTCCGAAACAAGGCTTTGTAAGGTCCAAATTTCGAAGCGCTAAAGACGTGTGTGGACTTCAGACGTACCAAGGCGCGAACAATGCTCGATGTCTGTAAAAGCGGTTATGACGATGACGTCAATTTCGCTCTAGTGTTTGTGGATGGGTGGAAAATTGAAAGCCTGTAAGGGGTGCTCAAGATGTTCAAGTAGATCTGTTCAAGCAAGAGGTTATGGAATGCCTACTGGTTTACAAATCGCGTTTAAAATCTTGTAAAGGAAAGGATGCAGGCAATCGGGCAACGCTTAAGGCCATATATTTTTTTAATTTGAAAAACGAAACACCAGATGTGCTTCATAGACAACGCCTAGACGCGCGTAGGTGGATTTTAAGTAGAGTACAATAGCTGTATAGCACTAAGATACCCGCTAGTCTTCTGCTGCACAAGATGGAATGTGAATTGTCGTTTAGCTTCCTGTGTCGGTCTCACCTACTGTTGTAGTACTGCAAACATGTATACATATACTAGCTTCTAGAACTCTGCATCTAGAAGCCCTACACCACTGCAGTCTTGGTTTACAAATAATCTGTGATAAAATTGTCGCCCTCCAGTTTGCATAGTCCCAACGCACATATTAACAATCGACGAAGGACAATGTTGTACGAAACACTATTTTTCTTCTTCAACTGAAGTACAAAACAATGTTACTGAGCTCGAGTAGCTGCGTATATCCCGGTATCGGAATAGCCTTGGTCCAAAAGTCTGCTAATGTGTCTTCGAAAGGTACGTAAGCAAGACTTTTTGTTTCTTCACTCCGTGTGACCACGTAAAAAATAGCCTAAGGGAAATGTTTCCGCACGACGTGTGTAATCCAAATTCGCCGCCATGCTGATTGCCAACTTGTTGTACAACATGATCTTTGTTGCACCAGATGATTGGAGTCTAAGCTCTTCAAGCAGAGAAAGAATCCATAGCACCTCTTGCGGGGTCAAGGCCAGTACCATATGTTCAGCCTCTGCCTATGATAGAGCCACCGAGGACTACACTTGGTTTGGTACTCCTGAATACCACGGGAACATCGCTAAGAATACCAACACACCAGAAGTCGATCGACGATTGCGTTTGTCACCACCCCAATTTGCGTCACAGTACGCCTTCTGAACGGCTCCATGGTTCGTAGATCTAGATTACCTAATCCATGGTCTTGCGTGCCTTTTAGATAGCATAACACTCTCTTTGATGCACTTCAATGCACTGTACGCGGGATTTCGAGGTACCGCGACATCATCGATAATAAAAACTGATGTCTCGCCGAGTTACAATAGCAAAATGCAATAGGAATTCCACAAACTCATCCTTCGGGGTATTATCCTCAAGAATTTCATTCGAATTATCTGGGGCTAGGTCAAGACCAAACACCAAATGTATTTCGCACAGCATGTGCTTCATCACAATTAAATTTGGTTACCATCTTGAAAATAAATTACTTTTGCTCCGAATGATTTTATCCCTGGTCAGTGTTGTATTCATTTGACATCCCTAACACATATAACGCGGCACCAAGCGATTTAGCAAACAAACGAGCACTTACCTTGCGACTGATTATGTAAGCTGTTGTATCATGCTCCACACCCGAACAATAATTTGTCAACGTACAGTAAGAGATAAACCAGCGATCCGTCCGCACCTTGACCGGAACGACGCAAAAACACAGGGATCTGCACGGCTTTGATTGAAATTCAACGCAATCCCGCAAAAAAACGTATATTCTTGTGCTAAACATTAACAGCTTACTTCAACCCATCAAGACTGCGTCTGCGCTCACAAACAGAAGAGAAGATCGACATGAGAATCCCCCATTTTGCTTGTACACCATGGGGTACTTTTTTGTAGATCTTCTCTTCCAATCAACATTCAGGAAAGCTTTCTCGACATAATATGTCGAATGTTGTATCCTCTGGCGCAATAGATTGCTAGTAAACACCTATACAGTTGATACTAGCAACAGCAGAGTATTTACGTAAATAATCTACCTCTTTGGTCTGCAAGAAACCGTGCAACCAAACGTGCTTTGTGGCGTAGAACATGTACCTGTTCATTGTACTTGAAGAAAAACTCTCACTTGCAGCCGACCACCTTCACACTACGTGATTATTTGACCAGATTACAAGTGTGCTTTGTATATAAGAGCGGACCCCACTGCAAATTACTTCTTATTACTGAAGCGCGTTATGATTTTTATCACCCCTTTGTTGCTCTGCGAAACATCACGTACAGCGCATGAGACTTCATATTCGATATTATTTAAACGTGGTCGCTTAGTTTGGCGGCACGATTTGTCCATTCCACCTACGTGGCATTGTAAACAGTTACGTGATGGTCACGTCTTGTTGCTCTTGGCGCTTGATATTGTCATGCGAAGAAGACAAGTAACATCATTTGTCCGTGTTCTTGACCGATTCGAAAATCTACTACTATTGGTTAATTAGAGCTTAATACAAGGTTCGTATTGAGTTCAGGATGAATGTATACTCGCGGTAGGATCTCATTTAATCCGATCGATGTTCTTGAAGTGTCTGTGAATCCCAGCAGCCTGTTCGATAGGAACAATGGCTTGGTCAAGATCATCGCTTCTCACATTGTTCACATCCACATTGTCACCAATAGACAAGGGATAGTCGGTGATTTACATGTTAACGTCTTGTCCGAAGCTTGTGCACCATCACTCTCGGTATCTTCTACGTCATCCACAGCCTTGCGTCAAAAATACGACAAATCTGGTTCATAACGGTCTGTTCCAGACACGGAAGCACGATCGTCGAGGTCATGATCATCGTGTACATGTTCGTCACTGCCGTTAACAAAAATGACCGTTTTAAACGAGTCGGGTGGTCGTTCCATAAAAAAAAAGGATCTAGTGACAACGAATCAATTTAATTTGTAGACTCATACGAAATGCGCCTTTAAAATTTTAAGTGACCAAGGATACGCCGATTGTCCTTGGATTTCAGCTTGTCCGTTTGCTATCTTCAATCCGGTAACAATAACCTGATCCATAGACTCAAAGGCAACTTAGACCTGGTTTTTCCAAGTCAATAGTTTCCATGGAGACATGTCAACCCATGCGCTGTTGGGAACTCGACTAATCATGTTTGCAACCGTCATAAGTACCTAAGCCCATCACGTTAGATCTATTGGAAGCTGATGTTGAAGATCGTAAGTTGCGATTATCGCCAGCCGTCAATCTGGTCAAAGATAGTCAGTACAAGATGGTGGTAGACAAGTTGGTCAGCAACCATCTGTCTTTGAGACGGTTGGAGCACAGACTTTTAGAAGAAATGGTGGCTATGAGGCAGACAGACGGGAGACAAAGCAAACAATACACAGAATCTTATCGTCTTCCTGCTGCACAAGCACATTTGACAACAAGATCATCATGCATGTGTAACAGCAATGCTCGTGTATCTCTATCAAGAGAGCAATTCATTCGCTATACAACCTCGTTTTGTTGTAGAGAGTAAATTGTCGAAGTCTGATGAGCGATTCTTTGCTTCGCGCAATGTAAATTATACGCTTGCTTATATGTTCTCCACCAATATACAAATTGATTCAACATATCTTGGAGTCGCAATGGGTCTCTACTTGAGCCTTTAACTTCTTCAACTTCTCAAACACCTCCGACTTTGCCTTGATCGGGTACAGGAACAACATTCGCGAGTAACCATCTATAAGTGATACATTAAATTTGGACACACCTTAGTACACAGAGGTATTAGTACCATCACATCACTATGAACAAGCTCGAAAGAAACGCTTGTGCCACATCGCTACCGGAGGTATGGCTGATTGGGCTTGTAGCCAATTTTCCACGTACGCATCCACTGCATAAACTTGAAGCTCTCTCCACCATTTGAAGGAGGTAAGGAACTCCATAACATGCCCTGCTTATCATATTCTGCTTATCACCCGACACGTGACCCAGTCGTGAGTGCCATAATTACATAGTGGTATCGATTGAAGAATCGATCATTGCGCTGCTGAAGGTATTTGTCAATGAGCGCCCAGCCTGCTTAGCAAAGAATCATTTAAACTTTCTGTCACAGCAACAACTGAATCTTTCACTGATATGGTGACATAACTAAATCAAATTGGAACATTAGGCCGCGAAAAGTTAATGGTGACGCCGACAATAGCTTACCTTGAAATTAGGAATGTACATGACATCAGTAAGCCTGACTGTTTCCTCATTGTAGACATACAGTCGAACACTGCCACGACCTTTTAACTTCACCTTGTTGTCCATTATCCACTGTTACTCAAAGTTAAGAATTATGTCGAACATGTTTATTTAATCGCTTCCGTCACTTGACATTTGAACGCTTGCACCGCTGTCAAACGACCGCGTATCGTGTTCATTCTTCTGTGACCGAGCTTTTGCCAAGAATGCAATCTTGGCACTGCTTCTAGACCTTCCTTCTGAACAATTTATTTGTTCCCATGTCGCTTGCATTTATAAAAGCTTTTCTTGAACCGCACACCTTGCCTAGCATTGTTGATATCGTGGGGACAACCAGCGCGGTGATATGAGCCCTTTTGCTGGCTTCCAGAACCCCTACGACCCTTACGACCGATAGCCTTGAACTCCATCTCCTTGTCGTCACGGTGCTGGAGTGTTTTGTATTCTCGACGGAGAATCTCCTTTGCTCTCATTAAGGTCACGCCACTAGTTGCTTCGGTGATGCGTATCATCATGTCTTACTCCGGAGGAAGACTTCCCAAGAGAATCAAAAATCCCTCATCGTCGTCAATCTTCCCTTAACATCGACAAGCTTTATACACAGCTCAGCAAACGGCATAAGATGTTTCATTCAGTCCCCTGCTTCTTCGAGCTGTAACTTGCTCAGATGTTTTTTTTTCGTAGATGTATCTTATTGTGAATGTTCTGCTTTACAAAAAATGCCCGAAGGGAACCCCTACGCATACTACGCAGACTGTGTCGTTTGCACCATAGTATGATACGTGGGAAATATTAACTTCACGATGATATCCAGATCCTTCGGATCGTCGGCTCTCCATGCGATTAACTGCTGTAAGATAAATGGATTCTCCAATACGTGCTCGAGAACTCCTTTCCGAGCAAGTGCCATCCGCGTGGAAAATATCCAGTGGAACTAAATCCATCGGTCAGCATATCACCCGAGGTTACCGAACTTGGACTCATAACCTATAAAAAGTGCCAGCTTGTCTTCTGCAGCACAAGATGGAATGTGAATTGTCGTTTAGCTTTCTGTGTCGGTCTCACCTACTTGTTCTAGTACTGCAAACATGTATACATACACTAGCTTCTAGAACTCTGCATCTAGAAGCCTTACACCACTGCAACCTTGGTGTCTTGACCATTCGTGATAAAATTGTCGTTCTCCAGTTTGCATTGTCCCAACGCGCATATTCCCAAAAGACGTTGGACAATGTTGTACGCAACACCATCTAGTTACAACATGTCCAATGAGCAAAGCAAAATATAGATTAGTATGTTTCGATAATTTACATACTTGTAAAATTGCAGACATTTCTTTCTGACGCAACTTCCTATGCCATGGACAAATGTGGCACGTTGTGCTGCTATTCGTAAAAAATAGTGACACGAGGAAGATCGTTTGAACAGCAAAATTAGTTTGGAGCCATGTAGTTGTACTGAATCGGTGTATAGCACAACGAATTTCGGTGTTATATACATATTACAAAAGCGACGTCCTCTCCGCTTATGTCGATATCCTCTTCGGTAAATGTCAACCCGTCAGCTTCTTTTCTTACAACGGAGCTGCGAGGTCATGTTTCTTGTGACGCTGTGATAAATGCAAAACGCAATCTGCAAAATTCAAATTCCCCTACCATTGATGCAAATTTCGCTTGCTCACATGTTTGCTCAACACGCGCATCCTTTGTATTGTGTCTTACATCGGCTCTCTGTGGATCAGGTAGAAAAGTACTTAGCATCGTAAATTGATTTCTTATTGACCAAGTGGTTCCATTTATGACCCCTCGAGCCCCAATCATCTAGGGTACTCGGCCACGTAGTGCAGGTTGTGGAGAGCTCATTATATGCCGCAAAAACAAACAGATCCCAAATTGCAATGTAGATCTCTAAATCTCCACTCACACATTGTTGCTACAAAGCATACTCACAGGATGCACTAGCGCTTTCATGAACTACACAAACGAGACTTTACGTTTTACGCAATCCGTTTGCAGCATTTAGGGATCCTGATTCATTGTTTTGTCGATTCGCAATGGTGGAACCCTCTACAAAGAAAACTTTTGTGTAAACGTTTTGGGCGTCAGCGCTAGAGCACTTTGCTCGGCCTTACAAAAGGATTGAATCCAACGATGTCTTCGTGTTCTGTGTGCCACCTGGACCACTGACAGTGCTGCAGACCCCAACGAATGAGGAGAAGTGTGCACTTTGTAAGCAATTTGTACTGAAAAACTGTAACGAGTTACAGCAGATCAGCAAGCGACTGATAGTGAATGTCGAGCTTCACTGATGCGTCCGTATCGAGTAAGCCCAGTGTCCTAACCTTATTGCGAGCCCGAAGGGTGAAGCTATTAGTGAGTGTGCGCAAGGTTGGATGCCGAACTTTTGAATCGTACTTATCTGTCTGTGTGCGGGTCGGTAAATAAAGGGTTTAGGTGTACTTGACTCGTAGTAAGTACGATCTAGCCTGTTCCCCTCATTGGTCGATTAGCATGATAGGTATCACTCTGTGGCTAGGTCAATACTGTGATGCACGCATGTGATTCGCTAAAAATCGATCAAAGGTGAATTTGATCACATTTTGCTTGCTCCTCAATCTTATCAACAAATTAGACGATTTCCCACAACAAGAATGCGCAGATTAGATCAGCGCAATCACCATTTCCAGACGTGAAGGAACGATCGTTGTAACGATTTTTCAACTCGCAAAATGTTTTTTGTTTACCAAATAGACCCACTTGTTGATTTAGACCGCTTCTATTATTGCTGGCGTCCTTCCTAATCGCCTGTTCCAGCTCGACAAAAACAGGCGATCGCCCTTGTCCAATAGAATGCAGCCGCCGCCCTCAGATGCGATGACCATGAGTCGGAGCGTGCTGGAACAAGCAGCGAGCCCCAGCACGAGCAGCGGTGCGTGTCGCCCCTCCTCCCGCTCCTCTATTGACTAGCCCAGTGGCTCTACGCTCACTGTGCCAAGTCTGTTGCATCGATTTTGTGTGTGTGTGCGCGCAGACTCGTCGCCAGTGCTTGTAGGAGCAGCAGCCCCAGAGCGTCAGCGATCGCGCTCTCGTCCCGTCGAGACCGAGGACGACGAGGTAGGGACGGTGGTCTGTCGAGTATGCATCTATAACTATACATGCATATGGGTGTATAGTTGTATACGTGGACGCGGTCTGATGTATGACTCCTCTTGTGTTTGGGTGTACTTCTTTGCAGTCAAATGGAGGCGAGACGGATGAAGTGGAAGAGATCAAGGAAGAGAAGAGGGGCACGACTGTGAAAAAGCGCTTGTTGGTCTGTACCTCCTGTCTGTGTTCGCCCTGCCTTTTTTGCACCGGCTGTGGGTGTTTTTTGGTGACTCTGACTGGCTGTGTTTGCTTCTCTAATCATAGCGGCGACTGCAGACTGAACTAGGTGTTGCCCGGTTGCCGTTGTGTGCTAAGGCTCATGAAGATGCGAACAGTGTGTCGTCCTTGTCAACCTCGCGCTATGCGTTACGTACGCGACAGGACAGGCCGAAGCGCTTTGACGAGTCAATTTACAACGATGTATTTATGAACTCGCATGGAACTTACAACGAATCGACGTCTGCTGCGTCTACTACTATGAATAACAAGAAGCGCAGACGTCGTGGCGGCTGGGGTCGAAACTGCCGTGCCAAACGACTTCGTAGCCACGCGGGCGAAGACGAGGGAGAAAACGATGAGGATGAAGACGATGAAGAGGATAACGAAGACGATGATGACGATCAAGACAAGCAGATGGAGCAGGAGATGAGTATTCGCGAGATCAACAAAAAGATCAAAGCACAGGAGCGTGAAGAACAAGAAAAGTCCCGGGTGTTATTACGACGGGAGCGACCATTACGTTACGCTCTACGGTCTCGAGATAGTCTCAGTATGAGCGAGGGGAGCGTTGTGTCGCCGCCTCAAACTGACAAACGGTCTCGTCGGACAAAGCGATCACAAAGGGAAGTGAGTCTATCTGACGACGACCAGTCGGAGGCTGGGTGCGAAGGAGAAGACGGTGAGAACGTGCAGTCCGACAATGACGATGCCAACTCCGAGGATGATCGTGAAGATGATGACGGCGAAGAAGAACTAGCTGGTTCCACCCGTTACCACCTGCGGCAGCGTCGACAAGCTCCTACCGGCAACAGTATGACTACCCGAAGTCGATCAAAGGTTAGCTCAGTTCCTGTGTTTGGAGCCGAAGACAAATCGCGGCGCTATTCGCTTCGCGATCGATCCAAGACGCATGGAACGGACGTCAACGAAGACGTTACTGCCTCGCTGGAGACTCCAGCTTACGCAGAGTATCTGAAGCGGCGAGCTGGTCGTGCTTCAAGGAGAAATAGCACAAACGAATCTGGTATCAATAGGCGGCTCTTTTTGCCGGACATGGACTCATCGTCTCCTCCGCGTCGTCGTCAAGGCCGAGGGCGACGTAAGCATGGCCAAGGACACCGAAATCGACACCGCCGGTCTTTTTCATCCTCTTCTGGATCTTCTTCATCCTCGGATATGCATACGGATGACGACGATTCTGACGGTGGCATGCGAACGAGCAGTCCATGGCGGCCTTCTAAAAGTGGTCGAAAAAGTGGAAGTTCACGCGCTGATATCGTGCCTGTAGAAGTAGACCGCAGCATCACGTGGGAAAGCGTGGGCGGTCTGAAGTCGCATATCGAATCGCTGAAAGAAATGGTGATGCTACCGCTGCTGTACCCTGAATTCTACGATAAGTTTAACGTTGCGCCTCCGTCAGGCGTTCTGTTCTATGGACCACCAGGCACAGGAAAGACGCTGCTAGCCAGAGCGTTGGCGAATTCTTGCTCTTCGTATGATAAGAATGAGCAAGGTCATGGCTCCGAGAGAGCAGCGAATCATGCACAACATGGAAAGAAAGAGGAAAGGTGTGGACGGCACGTTACATTCTATATGCGAAAAGGAGCGGATTGTTTGAGTAAATGGGTGGGAGAAGCCGAGCGACAACTACGTCTCTTGTTTGAGGAAGCAAAACGAAATCAGCCGTCGATTATATTCTTCGACGAGATCGACGGTCTTGCGCCTGTGCGCAGTGCTAAGCAAGATCAAATTCACGCATCGATTGTGTCAACGTTACTGGCCCTTATGGACGGCATGGATTCGCGGGGACGCGTCGTTGTTATTGGAGCAACCAATCGGCTCGATGCCATTGATCCTGCGTTGCGTCGACCTGGCCGGTTTGACCGAGAGCTTGGCTTTAAGCTGCCGAGTGTGACTGAGCGGAAGAGCATGCTTGCAATCCATTCGAAACATTGGAACCCTCCGTTATCGGACAAGTTCTTGACAGAGCTTGCTGAGCAAACGTTGGGTTACTGCGGTGCCGATATCAAAGCACTTTGTGCGGAGGCGGCATTGTGTTCTCTGCGTCGCGTGTACCCGCAAGTGTACGCCAGTGAAGACAAACTTCTGATCAATTTGGACAAGGTGGTGGTGGCCCGCGGAGACTTTACGAAGGCAGCGAAAAAGATCACTCCCGCTTCTCATCGCACCGTCAGTTCGTTTGCATCGCCACTACCGCGAGCAGTCGAACGGCTGCTGCAGCAGCAGCTATCGAAAATGGTGCGAGATGTTTCTCGCAACTTTCCACTTTTCCCACTGCAAAAATCATCCATGGATGATGCCGTTGTCACGGGCAACGATGCTGACGAAGATGTGGGGGCTGGAGATGACGAAGACGAGGGTGAAGATGATGTGGATATATACGGGATGGTGAATCATGATGATTGTGCTGTTTGTCGTGGGAACGAGGCCGAGCTGCTTTACTGTGATGCATGTCCTAAGGCCTTTCATCCTGCATGCCTTGTAGACGTGACCGTGGCTCATAAGAAGAGCAAAAGCAGTGAGGGCTTCTGGCTTTGCCCTGACTGCTTGGGCTCTGATTGCACTGCGCAACAAGGAGCACATCGCGTGCAAAAGAAGCGTGTTCACTCTATAGCGAATCTTATGTTGCCCCGCCACTCGGGTTTTCCTCGTGTCTTGATTGCGGGCAAGGCTGGCATGGGACAGCAGTACATTGGTCCGGCGCTGCTACATTTGTTAGAAGGATTGACGCACTTCTCGCTGGATTACCCTTCGCTTGTGGCCGACTCCAACTCGCACTGCCCGGAAGAAGCACTTATTCGGAGACTCACCGAGGCCCAGAAGTGCTTGCCTTGTGTACTCTATCTTCCGCAGATTGAGTTGTGGTGGAAGAATACGAGCGAATCGATGCATTTGACTCTGAAGATGATGCTGACGAATCTTCAAGCTCAAGTAAGTCTGCCAATCATGTTTCTAGCGTGCACAGCGTCGACCTCGTGTGAAGGGCAAAGTTTACCGGAGGACTTGCTGGCGCTGTTTCAGGAAGATCCGAGCGTATCCACGACTTCTGTGGTCATGGAGCTGTGCACACCAAGCAAGTCTGAACGTTATGCACATTTTGAACAGATATTTACCTCGCTTGCTACACCCCCATGTCTTCAGAAAAGCAAACGAGCCAAGAGCAGCCATCTAGAGGTGCTTCCGCTGGCGCCACTCCCACCTGCAAGACCAGAGATGAAGATGACGCTGGAAGAGCAGCAAAGAAGAAAAGAGCGAGACCTTCACTTTTTGCGTGAGCTGCGCATCTTCTTGAGTCAGGTGCTGGTGTACTGCTATTCGCAGAAAGCATACACACCGTTTTTTGTGCCGGTGGATCCCGTTGCAGTGCCGAATTACTACCTGATCGTGAAGTGCCCCATGGACTTGAGCACAATACGTGACAAACTGAACGATGAGGAGTATACATGCTTCGAGCAGTTCATGGATGACATCCAGCTTATCGTACGGAACGCCAATGTGTTCAATCCCAAGCGCAGTACCACGCGGCATATCGCGCATGCGGCTGGTACGATGAAGGATAATATCTTGTCGTATGCCCACCGCTTCCGCATACGCCAAGGTTACGACCTTTTTGCCAAGTGTCGCGAGGTGACGAAGCGGCTCCGAGCGCATCCAACGATGTACGGGGAGTATGGTCAACGATTTTTGGATTCCACTGGAAAGAGTAGTCGCACGAAGCATGCCTGCGCGTCCGAAAAGCCTGGCGTGCGTACCAGTGCGCGGCTCCGTGGTGTGAAAGCTCCTGATCTTGGTTCGAACGAAGTGACATCTCGCGCGACGGTAAGCACAGACAGGCTTGCCATCGACGAAGTTACTGCGAAGCAGGAGCCTACAGCTGATGTTCAGGGCGACACAAAAGTTATCACGCGGGTGGCTCAGTGGTTCAACGATGAAGAGGAGGAGCGGAAAAAGAAAAGTGGTGCAGGCGATTGCATTGAAACAGGAAGTGGCAACAAGGCAGCTGCAGAGGTGGAAGAAGATCGAGAAGAAGAGGTGTTTGAAGAGGGCGATCGCATTTTCGTGAGCAGTCGAACGTATCCTGGTGTCAACCGTGAGGGTGGTGCCGGTGTCGTGGTGAGCCGCAATAAAGACGGCACGTACAATGTCAAGTACATTCTCGGTAGACGCGAGAAGTCCGTCAGTGTCAAGTACATAAAACGGTTGACAGACACTGCTGTGATGGAGTCCGTGAAGACACAACGGTACGTGGCCAGCAAGACGACGGACGCAGCTGGATCCGTGCGCCTCATCCAGGACGAAGAAAAGATGGATGAGACGGACTACTTTGATGAATTATTGTGGCCCATTTTGAGAGAGGAAGGGTGGAAACGCGTCGACAGCTTTGATATCATTGAAGCGTCGGGCGAGGAGTCCGGTCTGGCCGTGCAACGCGTCGTCTTTACCCCAGGCACGAAGCAAAACGGTGAGTCCGTGGCTCTGAAAGGTGTACTGGAGGCCTTGGAGTACGTATCGGCGGACGCTGAGTTATCGCAGAAATGCTTTGGCTCTCGGTATGCGGAAGGTCTGACAGCTGCTGAAGTTCCTGGCGAGAGCAGCAGTGACGAAGGCATCGCTGAGATCGACAAAGCGCCTGTAATGGAGACGAAGGCCGCAGCTGTGGAATCGAAGGTTGATGAGCCTGTGTACGAGGCGCAGGACGATGAGCCTGTGTACGAGTCGCAGGACGATGAGCAGGTGAAGGACGAGCAGAAGATACCAGACTTTATTTATGACGAGGTACAGTGGCGCAGTTGGTGAGCACCTTTGTTTGTTCACGTGGCGGTCCGTTGACGGTATATCCTGCTTGTCAATGTTTGCTGTAGGCTCGAATGGCTGCAGTCCTGACGAAGCTCGTGGAAAAAACCGCCAACTGGACTGTCGACAAGCTGCGCGACGAGCTGCTCGTGCTCAACAAGTTGGTGTACCCATTTCGCACTCGCTTTGACCGGACGAAGCTGATGATGGTGAGAAAACGCGAGTGTCAACTGTTTTGATGCTCGTGGCATGTGTCGAAAAAGTTGCCTGCAAGCGCTTGCTAACGTTCGGTCGTCTTTTTTTTGGGTCTTTTTATTCCCCCTCCCTCTAGCTCCTCGAGGCCCACGAAACGGCGATGCAGGCGTAACAAGAACAAGACAGCGATTCCACACAGTCTATAGCTGTCAGAAACCACGTCCTGAAGTCCGTGTTTCGTCTCCCATTAATCATACCGACTCACCAGTCCCTCCGTATACGAATACCTCTCTCCCCAGCGAAGCCACCGCTCCGTCGCTTCCCTGTTCTGATCAATCGCAACCGACGCACCACAAAGCACCACCCGGTTCGTCCTTCCTTCCATTCTTCCTTCCAGGTCTCCTCGTCGTCGTCGTCCAATGCCGATCGTCTACGCCCTCGTGTCGCGTGAAAAGACCGTGCTGGCCGAGTACACCGCCACGTCGGGCAACTTCCCCACAGTCACGCGCGTGCTGCTCGCCAAGATCCCTCCGAGTGACGGCCGCATGTCGTACGTGTACGACCGCCACCTGTTCCACTACATTGTCGAGGCCGGCGTCACGTACTTGTGCATGGCCGACGACGATCTCAAGCGCCGCGTGCCGTTCCTGTTCCTGGACGACCTCAAGAAGCGGTTCCAAGAAGCGTACGGCGCCCGCGCCTGCACCGCCATCGCCTTTGCCATGAACAGCCAGTTCCAGCACGAGATCCGGCGTCTGCTCGAGTACTACAACGCGCACGACCCGGACGCGGACTCCTCGCTCGCGCGGGTCCGGCAGCAGATTGACGACGTCAAGGACATTATGGTCGAGAACATTGACAAAGTCCTGGACCGCGGCGAGAAGTTTGAGCTGCTCGTGGACCGCACGGACAAACTCCACCGCCAGTCGGTCAAGTTTGAGCGCTCGTCGACGCATCTGCGCCAGTCGATGTGGCGACGGAACGCCAAGCTCTGGCTGCTGCTCGTGGCGGTCGCACTGTTTCTCGTCTACCTCGTCGTCTCGATGGCCTGTGGCTTTGACTTTAGCGGCTGCTCGGGCAAGCGGGACGACGTCTGACGGGCGCGTGAGGAACCGATTGATCGATGGATTCATTGAGTGAGTGAGTGAGTGAGTGGGTACGTCCTGCTGCAGCAGCGTAACGACACGAGACTCGAGAGTAACAACAAGAACAACGTGCCATCGTGACGGAAGTCACCGAGCTCTTCGTGTGCTAGTGACTCCGTGCTTCTCTTGTACGTGTGTGCGTGTGCTTGCTTGTCGTCTATTGATTCCTGATTTCATCGTCTATTGATTTCCTAGCTACCTACTCATCGATTCACGGCTTCATCATCGGCATCTACTACGCGCTGGCAGACGTTGACGAGGTGCAGGTTCCTTCTTCTACGGGGCAAAGTCGAGGGCGCGGTCGAAATGCGTCTCGGACGTCTTCCGCACGCCGTCGTGCCAATGGCTCTCGATGTTGACATGCAGTGCTCGGGTGATTGTCTTGTAAAGAGCTTCGTCTCGGCCCAAGAAGTGCACGAGGACGAAGTTGCAGCTGACGAAAGCCAGCACCTCCATGGCCACATCGACCTTTGGACTCTGCAAAGCACGCGCGAGTCGCGTGAACACACGGCGTTGCAGCGAGTGCGTGGGGTCCACTTGTTCAAGGGGCGGCCCAGACATAATGACTCGTGCGACCATGCGCGTGGCCCCCACCTCTTCTTTCGGGTAGCGGGTCGGCCACGCACTGAGCAACCGCTTGAGTAGTGGACCCGTGACGGACGGCATGTACGCGACGAACTGACCGGCGCAGCTAACGAGCTCTTCGTCGTCGGATCCAGCGGGATCGATCCAGTGGGCGCGCCAGAGCGACACGAGACTGACCATGCAGTTGCGCACGAGTTCCGTCCGCTCCTCCTCCTGCTTTCGAGCCGCGTCCGGCAACAACAACGACAGTGGCTCTGGCTCTTGCACACCCTCTTCGACATGTTCGATCGAGTACCGCAGCAGTTCCGTGAACCCGTGGCCGTGATCGTGCTTGTCTGCAGTGACCTGCCTCGACGTTTTCTCAACGCCTAGTGCCTCGGCACGTGCTGCGACTGCAGTCACGTACGCGACACGCAGCGCCGTGGCGTCTGCTAGTGCCCGCACGAGGTGCACTCGCTTGGTCGGACAGCTCTTGTGGATCGCACGGAGGATATCCAGTCGCACGCTGGCAACTCGAAAGTCCTCGAAGCGCAGCGCATTCACGAGGGCGTGCAAGAACGTTGGCGTGAGCAGACTGTCGGCCGCTGCTGCTGGAGACGCTGCAGTGGAAAGCGACGACGGCGCATGCAGCTGGAGCTGGCTTTTGAACAGCGCGGTCGCTAGGCCTTGCTTGACGAGCTCTTCATTGGGCTCATCCGTGTCGGTCCCTTCGTCACCAAAGGCCGAGAGCGCGTGGCGCGGCCGACGACGCCGTCCGTCATCCCGGCGGCGAAAGAGCGCCGCAAAGATCGTGTCAATGACGTCGTCGCGACTTGCGACGCGCTGCGGCAGCCGCTTCTGCTGGCTGAACAGTGTGAGCTGCTGCGGAAAAGCACTCGATGCGGTCTCGGGGTACACGTCCGCTGCGTCCTGCCAAGCCGCAGCAAAAGCCGCAGCAGGAGTCGGTTCGACCTGCTGTTCCAAGGTCGCGTCCAGTGGCTGCAGCTCTGCCGACGTGAGCGACAGTTTGCGTCGGTGCTGCTCGGACGTCGACACTGCCGTCGACTTGATGGACGGCTGGGGATGGAGCCCCTTGGCGCCCATGCGCTGCCGTCTGCTTCGACTTGAAGCCGCACTCGTGCAGCTGCTCGGTCGGTCCTTCGTCTGCTGTTGTTGGAGCTGGGGCTGGCGCTGGGGCTTCCTTGCTGCCGCGTTCTTGTGGAGTTTCGACGCGACGGCCGCGGTCGCTGACCGTCGTGGACGCGAGGACGCAGCAACAGAAGCAGGAGCTGCTGCAGCTGCTGCTGCGGTGGGGCCCCGTCGGTCCGTCACGAACGCCAAGGACCGCGTGAGCGCGGCGGATGCGGCCGGCGGCTGCCGGAGACGCTGAGCGGCCGGAACGAACGCGGGCGCGGCCAGGGAGAGACGCGCACTGCGGCTGAAGCGCTGCTCCAGCTCGTCGGCATCGAGACTTTGCTCGCGGTGGCGCTGACGACGGACGCGGCTGGCGCGTAGTTTGGAGCCATGGCTCGGGTCGGCCGCGTCGGGAGCGACGGCGCGACGCATGTCGGGAACCGATGGCCGACGGCCGTTTGGATCAGATTGCGTGGTTTACATTAAAATGGGAGACGTGAAAAGAAGCACTTTTCTGTGAAGGCGCGAGAATGAATCGCATTGGATTTGGATGAGTTGATGAGGATGAGATTTGCTTTTGCATGACTTGTGAGATGTCGCGTGATCTGAGAATGTGTATCTTTGAGAATGGGCTTTGGATAAAATTAGAGGAGTAGTACAATAGACGGGGTGGATTTTACAACGTTCGACTGCAAATTTGCTAACTGTCGTAGTTTGTAGGATCGTGCATAGAGGGTGGGTACTCGACACGATATGACATTCTTTTTCAGACGGCCTCAACTGCTCGACAGCGATATGACGTATTTTTTCGGACGGCCTGAACCGCGACTTCCTCACGAAAAGGAGCTCAGTCAACAATCAAGCCCCGCCAAACGTATGCCGAACGGGGACTCGTTTGCAAGCCTACATACAGAGCAATTGCAAACGTTCAATTATGTTCATTTAAATTTGTACGATACATTGCCTCGTGCAGTCAACAAGACGCGAGGACGATGTTCACTAGGCATAAAAGCATCATCATTTATATTGATGGACCGATGCAAGGAAGTGGCCTAATGCCGCTGTAACTGATCGATGCGTCGCTGAAATCCCGATTACTAGAACTCCGAGCATCTAAGCATCACCTCTTTGCAATTGCGCTATATATTGCAAGAATCTGGTACCAGACTAACACAATGTATCCTCGCCAAAGATCGGAGCGCACGTGGTTGACGTCTATCCTTTCGTCGAAGACTCTTTTGTATTGCTATGGCCTCTTCGCTCGACTATAATCAGAGTAAGTGATCATAGTCGAGCGAACAGGCCAGATTCCCCATACTCTTGTGTAGGGAACCAGTTGGAACTAATGCTCATTATCTACGTTATACAAGTCCTACCTTTTTACTACATGTAACTACTGTCGCCTGCCGTGCAACAGCAACCTGTCTCTGGGACTTCACAGTCCACACTTCTTCCCATACCACGACTGCACATGCCGTTGGCATCCATCGTAGCCTCTCATGGTACGCGACAGGAACTCACCTTACAACTTACAGGTCCATTGCAGAGTATTGTCACACCTGGAAGCCAATGAATACTTTGTCCAACACATACTTCTCAAAGACGACGGACGTACAAACCGACGACATTTTACGCGTGTGTTTCATTTATGGGGTTCCAGGTTGGACTCGTGTCACCTTCATGCCAAGCCACGAGATCAAGCGGAATCTTGGATCGAGGTGATCAATCGAAGCACCAGACATGTGGTGAACAGGAAGGTCATGAGTATGTGACCTCTCACGTGCTGATTCGACAGAAGAATGTTGACCAACTGCTACTTCGAGTCGACAGCTTGACAAAATGAGTCGATACTTGGAAGATATAAAGAATTCGTGCGAGTTACTCAAAATCCTGGCAACAAGGCTGTGCTGTGGAATACGTGCAGCATTGAATCAGCAGACCACCTGGAAGACTTGATGTGACCAGAAGCCTGAATTGTGTCGATTCGTTTATCGATCGTATCCGTGAAGTGCGGGATATCCTTAGACAGCAAGTAAGCGGCCAGGCAGTTGCAATGAAGACACAGCTTGTTGCTGCAATGTAAACTGATGAAATGGTGACGTGCGATCGATTTAAAAATTGAGAGTCATTTCATGACCAACGTGTGCTCCTGATGGAAAGTTTATATCGAGCCGAAGGTCTTGTGAGACCGAGAGTGCAAGGGATCGTCAAGGCCTCGAGATACGCGACGTTACTGATCGCGGGTACTTTGATACGCTATACCTTGTGAAGAAAGGCACGTCGCAGCCTCACGATGAAGGCGTGTTATATGTTGTACGCAAGACTGAGATCACTTGACACGGACGCAGCAGTGAAGTTTTGCATTCACTACGGGTCTCTCAATGATCATCCACCGTAATAACGTCACATTTTGTCCATACGAATTGCTCGCTTCAAACGCCTTCATCCTTTTTTTAGGTTCGTTACATTGTCTGCCTTCGAGGTGGCGCATTGAGCCTTTCGTGTTCCTCCTCGACGACTGCATTGCAAAAGCGACATCCTCAATGCATCTGGCTTTCGCAACATCCTATCTTCGCGGTAACAATATACTTGCTGGTGTAGCATATGTGTCCAACAAGCGCACCGTTTGTGTTGTGGGTCACGTCGGCTTTCAGTGGTTTTGGCAGGAGGTACATGTCGGTGCAAATCGTTTCGAGTTTCCCACCTCGAAGTCGTTGCCCAAGTTACTTGACAGGAGTCCCAGTCATCGTAAAGTGCTTCGTAGCATGAGCGCAGACCGTGAGATTAGTGGCAAATTTTGCAAGGACAGAAGGATCATTATGTCACAATTCAGGCCTGCAACACTCCAAGCAGATTTTGTCCCCACATAGTACACGTTCTCGTGCAAGTATGCCTTGCAACACTCCAAGGATACTTATTGCCACGGAGTATAGGTTATAGCGCGCATTGACGCTTTCTTTGCAGTTCTAAGATGGCGTTTACGTTTTGTGCAGTTCGTATGTTGTGACCTAAGATTCAAAATTACACCAATGCTGCAGTGCTTCAAGAAAATAATACTCTACTTCCGTTCTCTAGGTTAAAACTGCTTTGCAGAGGCGCAATCAATTTTCTTGGCGTTGGAATGACTATCACATGTCGGATATGTTTGACGTCGCCTCAGTGTGGTCATGTAATAATGTTTTCTGTTTCTTTGTCTTGACGATCCATGCACACTTCTTCACACTTGGCCCACTTTCTCCTTCTCTTTGTCCATGCGACCTTAACACCGTTCACTATCAACCGCTGTGTGGTCCATGACCCAGTCGTCTAACAAAGATGGTAGGGCATCGTAAGCGACCTTTTTTGTGAAAGACATTTATAATCTATCCAAAAGCATGAGAGCGATACCAATGCCATTCTCGTAGCGTATTTAGCCAACCTCGAAGGCCTATGTCCTCCAAATGTTCTATTCTTTCATGCGCATGTTTATCTTTTCGTGTTTTAGATCCTTCAAAGCCTTGTGTTTGCCCCCTTCACGTCGAGAAGCGCAATACTGCCTCACTCGAGTTCGCTTGATATCCCCAACTCAGAGGCTTTATTAACCTTCTCGTGTTTCATCCATCAAATCGATATCCCTAACCTTCACTAATGCCGCACGTAGCCACAGCTTCATTCCCGAAGCTCGTCGAAAGAGTTCAGCTAGTAAGCATCTACGGCTCCCATTGTCAGCGGTAAGTATATTGCAGTACTTCACGAGTGTAGGAGGCAAGAAATTGTCAGCTGCTCCATTGCTTTGGGTATCCGTATCCGATCCCCACCATCTTTTGGTGACAAATTCTCAGTCTTCTTTCTTAGTGAGTAGTGATTTTTCCAGCTTAATACTTCTGACTTTCGTGCGTGAACCAAGCTTTTCTTTCGCGTGCGTCGAGTCGAATTAGTCTTCACTCGATACCAGCGTATTCAGTATGAGATAAGGGAGTGTGCTCTGGATCTCGCCCTTTGAAAAAAGTAATCCAGTTCATAAGACTAAATCAAGTTGCAAAATACTATTCGACAGCAGTCACTGAAGAAGGAGTATGATGGTGTAGATGTCTGAATCAAACCAGTACAGTAGGCAAGGGCAACGCGATCAGCCCTTCGTTATGAGCGTTTAGCATTTGCTGATCTGATCATTTTCACCTTTGATCGATTTTGAGCCAATCTTGTTCGTGCTCTAAATAGTGACTGAGCGAAAGAGTGACTTCGGTATGCCTATATGCCTATGAGGGGGGGGGACAGGCTGGATCGTACTTTGTTCGCACCTAGCCGCATTATTTGCACACAGACGCAGCCACCGACAGATAAGTACGATGTAAAAGTTCGGCATTCAACCTTGCGCCCAGTCACTAGTAGCTTTACTTTTCGGGCTCGTAACAAAACAAGGTACCCATCACGACCCTATTTATCGTTCTTGATTGAGGTTGTAGCAGTCGATGCAACTATACTGGAATCATCCTGGATCACCAACGCTTCGCATGTGTTCAGTTAATCTAAACTTGTGGCCTAAAGCTAGGTAGTAGCAACAGAGGATTGATTTCGATTCCAGTATACCTAGCTCGATTCCAGCGGCACGAAAAGTAGAGTTGGATACAAACTTGAAAGTTATGATAACGTCAGCCTTTCAAGGCTTTAGATTAAGCTTAAGGATGCTGGATGCAACAACTGCTAGCTTCCCAACGACAACTCAATATGCTACTTCTCAATTAGGCGTACGCACGGACTCAAAGGCGGAAGACTTCTCCACGCTACAATTCTCGTCGTACAATTCGACATTCTTGCCACGGGGTTCGTAGCCGAAAAACAGCACAATAGCCGACACCACCATCAGCAGTCCACCAAACACCCACATGATACCCTCCAGCGACATGTTCCAGTCGCCAAACATGGAAGCACACAAGTACGGGCCGCTAAAAGAGCCAATGCGGCTAAACCCTGATGGGTATGCTGCCCCCATGCCCCGAATAGCTGTCGGGTAGTTCTCGGGTGTATATGCGTATACGCAGCCCCATGCACCAAGCATGAAAAACGACGTGAACGAGCCAGTGATCATCACAGGCGTCTTGGTCGCGTCGACGTAGCCCATGGCAATCGCAGACAGGAAGGCACCAAGTAAAAAAATGACAAGCGTGTGCTTGCGTCCAATGATTTCCACAAGACCCGCAGCAGCAAAGTAGCCGGGAAGCTGGAAAGCCGTGATAATGAGGATCGTCTCCCATTGTGCATTCATGTCGAAGCCCTTGAGTGAAATCAGCGTCGGCAGGTAGATAAAAATGGCATAGTACGACATGGATATGCCAAACCAGAGCGTCCACAAGACGATCGTGCGTACGCGGAATTGGCGTTCAAAGAGCATCCCAATGCGCTTAATATGGGAATCCGGGAGCCGAGGCGGGATCGGCGTGGCAGATACCGCTTCGATGCTCTCAACGTCCGCTTTTGGATCGTACGGGTCCAATCCGTGGGCACGCTCGATCGCTTCGACGATCGCAACGGCCTCGTCATAGCGGCCAACACTGGCGAGCCACTTGGGCGACTCGGGGATGCAATACCGGATCACAATGGCATACACAACAGGGGCACAGCAGATGTAAAACGTCTCGCGCCAGCCAATCTTGGGCGCAGCAGCAAAGGCCATGACAACGGCCATCATGCACCCAACTGCCCAAAACGACTCGAGAAGTACAATAATCTTGCCCCGCGTCTTCTTGGGCGAAAGCTCTTGCACGAGCGTCGAGGCAACCGGCAGTTCACCGCCTAGACCGATACCCGAGATGATGCGGGCACAGGTGATGGAGGTGACGTTCCAGCTCAAGGCGCAAAAGGCGAGACCAGCGAGGAAGAGCACGAGCGTGACCATAAAAATGGGACGCCGGCCGTACTTGTCAGCGAGCGAGCCAAAGGGGAACGACCCGATAAAAGACCCGACAAAGACAGCACCACCTAGGAACGAGGCCTGATGGGCGCTCTGGGGAATGTCCTTGCGGATGAGCTCGGCACAGTATGTAAAGATGAAAGTCTCCATCGAGTCCATGGCCCAGCCGATCCCCGTAAGGAGAATGAGTCGAATGTAGTACCATGAAAGGCCCATAAACACGCCCGGGTCGCGCTCTCCAATAGCGTCAATGCGCTGTGTAATGCGCTGTACAGCTTCAACGGTATCCGCGGGAGCGCTCATGGCGACCAATCGAAACGGAGCTCTTGGGTGCAAAAGTTGAACTGAAGCTCTGGTCAGCAGCTCCTGATGGCGTTACTCGACGAATGAAACAAAACTGAGCCATGATCCCACGAGGTTGAGACGACCCGTGAGACTTGATGTCATTGAAAACCGACAGAAACCGAGACTGCATTGCGGTTTCAACTGCAAGACTTGATTTTCTTGGAAACGTCGCTAACCGATTGATGACAGCTGCTGACGATTGGACGGTGATGGATCCGGCTCTATCACGTGAGACACGAGGTTACAATCGGGCCGATGTGAGCTGAGATGGCCTGCGCTTTTTCTGTACCGGCTTTTGGAGACGGGACTGCCTCAAGTAGGTTCGCAAGGGACCTTGCCGATACTGGACGGAAGTACCTCTTCGCACGTCCGTGCTCGATCAGGTCAAGTTGTTGCCCTTTTGCTGCAGACTCGACTGTTGCAGGTAGCGGTCGATGGATAGAAAGATGACGCGAGCGATGCGTTCGACACGAAAAGTGGATGGTAGACGCTGGTGACCGTTGGAGGCCCGGAGGTCACAGAGTGGCAATGATGGATGGCTGCACTCGATTGGTGGGAGTTGACTGCGAGTTGGCAACTCTCACAGAATGTTGAGGGAGCTAATGACACGATTCACGTGGAGATCGTTGGTTTGGTATTGGAATTGACAAGACCTTGATGGCGAGCGCGAGTGCCAGAGAGCGTTGAGACTTCGGCTGTCGGTTGGGTGAAGGGATCAAACGTGCACGAAAGCTGAGTCTCTGATCGCATGCGTGGGTGTAGATGGACGAGCTGATACAATCGGCGACGAATTTTCATTCGCAACCACGTAAAAGACAGTGAGTTGTAGCTTGTCAGCTCAATCGCTTGTAGAACGCGTCGAATTGAGTACATGTGGATAAGGAGACCGTCACTGATTCTGAAATGGTAGTCAGCTACACGCCCATCCGCGCAGATTAGCGTCATCGAGAGACAGGCGGTGATATTTGACCTTTATAGTAGGGGTTACAGGATGTCTGACGTATCCTAAACCTGGATAGCAATGCCGGTTCCTCTGTCAAGTCCAGTGGCTGGATGGGGCTTGTCGCCTCAGATGACAGCCCTCGGGGTTGCCTGGCATTTTCGCCGTAGCATGGTAATGGGCGTGCATCTCAAATTTCGTGTCGTCCCGCCGATACTCGCGGGACGACAGGCTACATTCCAGTCTCCCAAAAGTTTGTGAACTGCCTCCTCATGGAACACCGCTCGATTTCGCATGGTCCATAAGGTCGTAGTGCATATACTGCTCATGATATGCCATACTCGCGCCCAAACTTGTGCGCGTTTCATTCTTCGTCGGGATGATCTCGACAGAGACGTTCCTCAACAACTCTAGACAGCTCCGGTGCCTGACGTCGTGCACAATGGGCGAGGAAGCCGTGCAAGCTCCCAGCATTCCTCGGTCCGATGACAAATGAGTTGCTGCCAACAAGCCTGCACGCACGCACGGGCATGACCAAAAGGTGCTCCATTGTTTCCTTGGCACCCCGACAGCACTGTAACTTCCTACAGCTTTTATCGCGTTTGCGCCCTATAAAGTAGAGATGAGGTTGACGCATGGACCTCCGGTAAATGACCCACACAAGGCACTCCGTGAGTTCGTTGTGATGAGCCCAAATATTTCGATTAGCGTCATAATGAGTGTATCTTTGACATGTGTGGGGCATACCGTTGCCGTAATCGATGATGACGTTAACCTGCTCGCTCGTAGGTAGTGTTGCAAATGCGTAATCAAGACACGGGCAATCGGTCGATACAAATATGAAGCTTGTTCAATGAAAGTGGCGAAGAAAAAAGTCGGCTCCAGCTGAAATGATGCACTAAACATTTTACAATGAGACATTTATCGGACCTCGTGGCAGATCTCACGCCGTAATCGCGTTCTGGTGACTCTGCAGCTCTTTCGAGTTTCTCTCGAAGGACCTGCACCATGTGCCGCTCATGTCGTTCCGAGCCTGTTTGTAGCTTCCCGATGATTCTCTCTGCTGCTTTTCCGAGCTCGGCTGTAGCCTTGTTACGTGGTTGTTGCATTCGATGTTCAAGCACGTGACATTCGACAGGTTTGACAGAACCGCCCACGAAAAGATGGGAATGGCTGATTGTGCTTCTACGACAAGGCCCTGGCCCCGTCGAGTTTGACTGAAGCTTGCTACATGTTGCACATACTCTGGGAGTGTCGTCAATGTCTCGAGACCATCTAGGAATACCGCCGAGTTCCCGCTCTAGAATAGATCTCATCGGTGTGACACTCAACGCCGGAACGTCAACCCTCTATACTTCACCGGCTCCTTTGCAGAAAATGCTGTCGTCTACCTCAATGAAGGCTGACAGAACGTGGTGCTTTGCCTTGTAACATAGGACTTCGCGCAGACTGACAGCAGCTGGCGTCGTCGGATGTAGCACATGAGACAACTGCGTTGTGGTCATAACATCGTCATGCCCGACTGTGTTGACGTCTCGCCTGCATGTAGGACTGACGCTGGCATCTTGGTGCTGGCTACGATGCCACATGCAGCAATCGTAGCACGATCGCAGTTCAGTTTGACTGGACACCGTTGCTGCAGGAAGCTGCAGTCGACATGGTCCCACTTGCAGTGTCAACTGAAGCCACGACCATGCCGACCATCCGAATGAATGCCACCATCGAGTTCAAATGCCACAATGAGACCGATACTCTCTCCTCAGCGTTCGAGCTCGTTGCTCGCAAGCGCATTCCAAGGAACGACACGTCTCAGGATCCAGCCACAAGCAAAGATTGCGGCTTGAACGGTGCAATCATCAGCTAGTGTCCCCCCTGCAGCTGCATCCATATACGCTTGTAGCTCTAGCTCCGTCGCTTTCGCACGCGACGACATTGAAATGCTCAACAGGCGCCACGACTGTCAACAGAATGTCAGGCATACGCCTCTTCGACAAGATCGTAGCAGCTCTCGAACGTAAAAACCTTGCAGCTCGTTTCCCACGCGACGTCTGTCGTCTGTCCCTCGCGACCTATCTCTAGAGATCAGCTTTGGAATCGTATGTCAAGCCATGCACGTGTGCAGCGCCATGCGGCAAGGAACACCTTCTCTCTCGACGAAGAATCCAGCACCAGATGCACGAATATGCGCTCGTAGCAACGACCCGGTATTGATCACGTTCCCGAGCCCCACGAGCAGCACCAACTTGTCTACGTGTCACACGACCAGTTCTGCTCAGAAACCCCACGAAAAGACGGGCGGACGGACGAAAGCCATCCGACACGCCCCCCCCGAGCCCCCATCAAGCACGTACTGACCGATCTTCCAACCCATCCGCTTTTCCACGCGCCTATCTCTCGTGGGTCAGTCGGTCGGCAGTACCAGACGAAGACAAACAAAGCGAAACGACCAACTCGCGCGCCATCCATTACCCGCCTCTCCCGTCCCTGCAAACCCAAGCGCTCCGGTCGGTCTCCCACAAACGACCCGAACCACGCCCGAACTCACTCACACACTCTCACACACAACTGGTCAACCGCTGCCAGCCCCTTTCCCGAGTCGGTCTGCAGAGATCACATCCCCCGCTCGGCCGACGACGAGAGAAGCGACGACGTCACCGCCACCCACCCACGTACTGCATTGACTCGTCGTCTTCGTCGCCCCTCGTCCCTCTTTCCGCCCCTCGCGTGCACATGAACGTCGTCGTCGTCGCTCCTTCCGACGTGTACCATGAGCTCGAGCCGTCGCCTGCCCTGGGCACGTCGTCGTCAGGCTCAACGCAAAGAGGGGACCGTCCGACGCTCGTGACGCGGGACAGCTCCGGCCGCGCGTCGTCCATTGCCAGCACGTCCAAGTACGAACCCACGGCGGACTACCGCGTCGTCCCGCTCCCTTTGACGCACCGCCTCCACCACTTGCAGTCCACTGCATCTCTCCCTCCTCCTCCTCCTCCCACCTCTTCCTCTCCCTCTCCAGGTTCCCCCTTTTGCTCGAACGTCGTGATCACGTCCAAGTACACGACGTGGAACTTCCTCCCGCGGTTCCTGCTCGAGAGCTTCCGGAAATTGGCCAACGCCTATTTCCTCCTCGTCTCCATCCTGCAGTGCGTCCCCAGCATCAGTAACACGAACGGGGTGCCCACGACGCTCCCCGTGCTCGTGATGATCCTCACAGTGGACGCCGTGCTCGCAATCATTGAAGACCGACGGCGGCACGTTGCTGACGAACAAGCTAATTCCGCCCAGTGCCACGTGCTGAACGAGTCGTTTACCGGCTCTCGGGATGCTAGAACTCGCTGTGAAGACACGACGCTGGACGTGGCACAAATCCAATGGGCAGACCTCACGGTTGGCTCCGTAGTGAAGCTTTACAACCGCGAGATGGCGCCGGCGGACTTGCTGATTCTTGCTGTCGCGGAGCCGAAACCGGCGGAACCGGCAGGTATTTGTTACGTGGAAACCAAGAGTCTCGATGGCGAGACGAACCTCAAGCTGCGCCACGCTTGTGACGCGACAATGCACGTGCAGACAGCAGCTCAAGTGGCGGCGCTCGCGGGGCAGCTCCGGTGTGAGAGTCCGAACAAAGCTATCGGTCGCTTTGACGGCACGTTGCTCGTAACAGGAGGAGGTGGTGACAAAGTAGCTGCAGTCACGGACTTGCAACCGCAGCCAATTGCAATGAAGAACGTGCTGCTGCGTGGCTGTCAATTGCGCAACACGGACTGGATCTACGGTCTTGTGGTGAACACGGGGCCGGACACGAAGATCATGCAAAGTGCGACTGCAGCACGGCCCAAGTGGAGCTCCATCAATGAGACCGTGAACAAGATGATCATCTGGCTCTTTTTGCTGCTTTGTCTCTTTTGCGCTGTGTCTGCGACGCTGCAAGTGATTTGGCTCGATGACCACATTGATGAGAGCTGGTACTTGAGCTGGTCACCTGGTCTAGCGAGTCAGTGGTTTGTCGGATTCGGCTACTACTTTTTGCTCATGTACCAAATGATTCCAGTATCACTGTACGTGACGATCTCGGTGGTCATGTTTATTCAGGCAATCTTTATGACATGGGATGTCGACATGTACTACGAGGCAACCGACGTGCGCATGATTGTGCGCTCGTTGGGATTGAACGAAGAGCTGGGCCAGATTTCTTATGTGTTTAGCGACAAGACTGGCACGCTGACGTGTAATGTTATGGAGTTCCGCAAATGCTCGATTAATGGTGTGTCATACGGGACTGGAACGACTGAGATTGGGCGAGCGGCACTGCGCCGAAAGGGTGTGGCTGTGCCCACCGACACAGAATCGATCCCATCATTGCGTCGTGCTAGTATCCCGTACGTCAACTTTGAAGATGCGCGGTTGTTTAACGCACTGGAGCGACCGATGGCGGACGACGCGCCACATCGTGAAGCCGAATTTTTCTTGCACTTGAGTCTATGTCAGACGGTCATTCCGGAGACTGTCGAAGGTAGTTCTGAAGTGCGTTTTTCGGCCTCCTCACCTGATGAGCAGGCGCTGGTTTCAGGCGCCAAGTTCTTTGGCTTCAGTTTCGAATCTCGTGGTCTGGGCGTCGCTCGTATACGAGTGAAACGTCCGGACCTGATTCGCCGCTATGCCAATGGTTACCTCGGTTCGAACGCTTTGCTGGAGTTTAAGATCCTGGATGTTTTGGAGTTTACTAGTGATCGCAAGCGGATGTCTGTTGTAGTGCAGTATCCCAATGGAGAGTACTGGGTGCTCACGAAAGGAGCTGACAATGTGATTTTTCCGATGCTGGCAAAGAATGAGAGCAACCCTGGATTACTAAAAGAGACGAAGCGTCATTTAGAAACTTTTGGCGATGATGGTTTGCGTACGCTTACGATTGCGCAGCGACGTGTTAGTGAAACGGAGTATTTGGACTGGAGCGCACGCTTTAAGAAGGCGAATTCTTCTTTGGACGAAATTGACAAGCGCAAGAACGGTCAGTCGAACGAAATCGACAAGCTTATGACGGAGATCGAGCATGATCTGGAAATGCTAGGTGCAACAGCAATTGAGGACAAGCTGCAGAATAATGTACCAAGGTGCATTGCTAATCTGATGCGCGCAGGAATGCGAGTGTGGATGCTTACGGGAGACAAGCAGGAGACCGCCATTAATATTTCGTATGCGTGCCAGCTCATGGATAGCGATATGGAGCAATATGTGTTCAACTGCGATCTGTATCCTACGAAGGACGCCATCCTTGCACAATTGCTGAGTGCAAGCGCCCAGGTCCAGCAAGGCACCAGTCGTCATGCCGTAGTGATTGACGGTGAGTGCTTGGAGATGACGCTGGCAGACGATCAGTGTCAGCGCGAGTTCTTGTCGCTGGCCATGGCTTGCGAGGCTGTGGTTTGCTGCCGTGTATCACCCAGTCAGAAAGCTGAGGTAGTATCACTAGTGCGTGCTACGAACAAAAAGGTGCGAACGCTGGCGATCGGCGACGGTGCCAACGACGTCGCTATGATTCAGCGTGCGCATGTTGGCGTTGGTATCTCGGGTCAAGAGGGTATGCAAGCTGTGAATTCAAGTGACTATGCGATCGCGCAGTTTTATTTCTTGGAGAAGCTGCTTTTGCACCATGGCCGGCTGAATTACAAGCGTATGGCCGTTCTGGTGGGGTACATGTTCTACAAGAATATTGTGATGGTGCTAGTGCAGTACTTCTACATGTTTTGCACGGGCTCGTCCGGCCAGAAGTTCTACGGCGAATTGGGCTTTCAGCTTTACAACGTTAGCTACACGTCTCTTCCTATCATCGTGTTGGGTGTGTTCGACTACGACGTGCCTTTCGAAGTGAGTCGTTTCTTTCCCGAGCTGTACTTGGTTGGACCGCGCATGGAACTTTTCAACAACTACACGTTTTTCAAGTGGATTTGCAGCGCGGTCTATGAGGCGGCTGTCATTTTTGTGTTCGTGGCTTACGCCTTCAACGAGAACCTATCTACTGTTGGCAGCGCGCCTATGGTGCAGTACGGGCTGCTCGCGTTCACTATGGTGGTTTTGGTAGCCAACATCAAGTTGTCAATGGTGCAGATGTCCTGGAGCCCTTATGGTGGGATGTTGTGGCTTATGGGTGTGATCTCGTACATCCCCCTTACTCCTCTCGTTTCAAGCTACTGGGTTGCCATGTTTCCGACGGAGTTCGGTAGCTTTCAGAACACATTGGGACAGGAGACATATTGGTTGGTGATCCCAGTTTGTCTGGTTGTTGCGCTGATACGTCATTTCACCTGGACAGCTGTCTGCCGCCGATTCTATCCACTTCCGTGGCAGATCGTCCAAGAGCAGTATGTCTTACAGAAGGGCAAGTACTCGATGCAGGATCGGTCAATGCCTAACATTGACATGGAAGTTGGCGGCATGCCGCGCGACGACGAAAGCGCTTTTCTTGATTCATCGTCTCCTGGTCGCAACGCGGTACGTGCAATTCCTGTAGATTTTACCACAACGATCCGATCTCTGACATTTGTTGCTTTTTCTTTCCCATGCAGCGACCGCATGAGTATGCACAGGCACTGGGTCGCCTCGATCGCAAAACGCGTGGATCTGGCAGTGGATTCGCGTTCAGTCATGATCCGCAGACGTCTTTGGCCGAGTCGTACATATCAAGGCACGATGTGCGTCAATCTGCGTCAGCAATGGAAGATGCCGAACATCGCAGCAGCAGGTCTCGAGAAGATTCGCGGAGCTCCGACTACGAGTCCTCGCGCTCGGGTATTGCCGCGGATTTTACCAGGGGCTCACGTTCTTCTGGGCTATTTGTCTAGCTGCTGCTACAGGGTTTGGTTACACCTTCATCGCCCGCGTGCACACGCATCATACCGAGAAGCGTTACGACGTCAGAAGTACACCTGGAAGAAGCTCCGTTTGTTGAATGCTCGAATCATTAGATTTCGTTTGGCTTGCATGGCTGCGAGATTGCGATCATCTGCATGCGGCGGACGAGCGCAGGATGTACGTACGTGTGCAGCAGGCGTCGATTGTCATTCATGACAGTTGTCGATTTGTGCGCGGCGCTAATATCTATAAACACTGAAACTCATTCGTTATTGCTTTGACCCAGTGATGTGTTCATTTTACGGCAGCAGCGACTGTTTGTGCGTGTGAGCGCAGTGGCAGTACGTTTGTGGATGCTGTTTGAGGCATACATGCGTTCATGAGTACCAGCGATTGAGTCCGGCACCGTTTCAGGATAAAGCAAGACGCACTGGTGCTGTCTGCTTCCTTTCTAACCCAACTTGCGTGCGTCACAACTGTGCGCACTCATAAAGCATAACGACGGCCAACACGAAGGAACGATGCACGTTAACGATCCCCTATGCACTTGGCGTTGACGTCAAATCAATCCACTTGCTTCGTCAGAAGCTATGTAGTATCCTCCAGCTGCAGGCTCTGATACTTCTACCAGCAGAAAGTATGTTCCTGGTCAAGCGTCCATCTGTGCGTGCAAGCTCAAGGGTGCTAGTCCTGCTCGGACAATTTCTTCGCCAGTGCTACATAGTCCACCTCTTTTCTCACGCGCTTACTCCGAGAACACGACAGAGGCTCCGCAGCCGCGTCTTCGCTGCGCTTCTTTGTTCGCGGCACCATCACAGTCGAACCTGAAGCTGCTGGAGTCAGGTAGTTTGCCAGGAGGGCCTGCTCGTGGGCGGCTTCTCTGGCAATCTCTTCCTCGTCCCACCGCTCTTGCGCAGGGTTGATGAGCGCCCGAGCATGGGCCGCGACACTGCGCGCGAAGGGTGAGACCATTCGGCCGTGAAAGTTGTAACCTCCCTCCAGCACAGAGATCAGTCTACCCTCACAGCACGTGTTGGCCACCTGCTTGACGTGACCCACGAGCCACTCGTAGTCTTGCTCCAGCAGCGATACGTATCCCCAATTCATGAGCTCCTTCCTGTGCGCGTCAAAACCGGCCGATAGGAAAATAAGGTCCGGATCGAAATCCAGTAGCTTTGGCAAGATGCGGTCACGGAATGCGCTGCGCCATAGGAGGCGAGAAGCGGACGCACCTTCATGACAAAACGGCAATCCTTCGTCCCAAATGATGGGAGCCTCTTTCACGTTCGAGACGCCCGATCCAGGGTAAAACCAGCCCTGGGTCTCTCCTTTCGCCAACTCGTCCTTGTTCTCAGGGTCCTTGCGGCCGTACCCATGCACTGAACAAAAGAAGACATTCTCTGCGTCATCTTCACTGCGCCACGGCTTGTACTGGTGTACAATCTGCTTGCCAACACCGTACGGCGTCTCGAACGTTAGCTCTTTGGTGGACGGTACCAGCTGCCGCACGATCTCTTCAGTTCCATTACCGTGGTGCACATCAAAGTCCAAAATAGCCACTTTGTTGATTCCGCGATGTTTCAGATGCGCACGTGCATACGCTGCGCCAACAGCCACGTTGTTGAAAAGACAGAAACCAAGACTTCCTTCTGGATCGTTTTCGCATACAACCTTGCCCACCGGTCCAGCGTGGTGTCCAGGAGGCCGTACGATACAGAACGCGTTCCTGCATTTGCCTGCCACGACCTCGTCCACCGCCTTGCACACTGCTCCAGCAGCACGGGCAGCTGCGTCAAACGAACGAGCCGTCAAAGCTGTATCCATATCTAAGGAAACTGTCGCATAGCTCTCCTCCGTGTCGTCATCACAACTGCCAGCAGCAGAAACTGGCTCGGACTGGCACAGAAACTCATGCCGGCTTGTGCCATCAATATCTGTGACAACACCATCCTTGGCAACAACCGGTGCAGCGAGGGAAGCACATTTCTGACGTACACGGTCGACGTAGTGATATTCATGCACCCGCAAAATGTCGGCAATATCTGCGCGTTCGATCTCATGGTCCCACTTGACGTTTGGGCGTCGAAATTCGCGCGATCGAAGGATACCAAACACTGGATCGACTAGCGTATCGATTCGCTCGGGATTTTCGGGTGGTAAGTCGGGTTCTCCACGACGATGATATGCCATGGGCAAATGCCGCCACACCTCGGGATGAAAATAAAATCGCGTCGTAGCTTTCGCTGCATCATCTCTAATATCATCTGCAAACTTCTCAATGCTTTTTCCCGCTTCTGCCGCTAACAGACGCATCTCTAGTGCGTCAAACGCACACCTGCGAGCCACTTGAGCTGCTGTGTGTCCATGCATATCCTTGAGTGTAAAATCCACAGCCTCTCGACGACAAGCGTTGCTCAAAATCTCGACACCATCCGCAAAATTAACGCGCGCTGCAACATGCGCCGGTGTCTGTCGCAGCGACGTGACAGCATTCACGTCCACGTTGTATTCATCGACCAACCTCCCCGCGGTGGCCGTCGCACAGTACTTCATCGCTTCATGCAGCGGTCGAAAGCCGAGTTTATTGCCTTTTTCCAGCCACGTTTCAATCAACGGCACCACCTGCTGCTTGCTCGTCTCGCTCTCGTCTTTTTTGTCATCCTCTGCCTCACCACTTGTCCCGACTCCTCTCTTCTCTATCACCGGCACTAGTGCCACTTGGCGTCGATAGAACGCAATCAAAACGTCCAGACACACGACGAGGTCGTACCGGGCACAGAGGTGGAAAACGGAACAGCCTTCGTCGTCGCGCGCCGTCATCTTGGCAAACAGCACAGCACGCACGTCCTCTCCATAGCAGAACCCCACCGAGTCCATCGTCTTCATCTCTTTTTCTTGCTCTTCCTCGTGGAACCCGCAGAGTTCCGTCACAATAGCGCGACTGAACGAAGCGTTGAGGGCTCCAACGCGCAAAACCAAGTGCAGAAACGGCGTGCGCAAGTCGCCGCTTGAGAGACGGAGCATCGCGCTCGTGAGCGGCTTCGAGTAGCGTAGAAAGTGCAGCACACAGTCCACTTGCTGGTGGATTACGGCCACGTGGAGCGGTAAAAAGCCCATTTCGTCCTTTTCGAGCAGACTCGCTTCGCTGGCGACGACGTCGAGACGCGAGCGAGAAGAGGCGGACGATGCAAGTGGCAGGAGCGTGTGCAGAAGGTCCATGTGGCCCTGTTCGGCGGCGTTATGGAGAGCGAACGCGTCGGGCTCGTCGTCGCTGAGGCTGGCGCTGCTGAGGGCGGCCGCCGCTTCGGGGGCGGGGCGTGCGCGGGGCATTTTGAGATGCACGAGGGGGTTATCATCCAATCACGTGGCGTGAAAAGGTTGGGTGGGGTGGATGATTGGGTGGTGGGCTGTCTGGGTGTTTGATTGGGTGGATGTGTGTCGTGGGTGGGGAAACGCGAGGATGAAGTTGCGTGTTTTCTGGCAGGAAAAAGTGAGCGAAAAAGCTCTTTTTTTGTGGATAGCTACTTGAAGCGGATGTCGTTTTGACAGCGGGGGACATTGGACGAGAGCGTGCTGGTCGCTGATGCGGACGTAGATTGCAATGATAGCTACGACATGGGTTCAAAGCGTGGAGAAGGAAGAGAAGAGGAATGTTGATCGGGTCAATGGAGGTTGCTGCGAGATATGTTTTGCTATCGACTCGGTTTGTACATGTTGAAGTGGATCAGTCGGATCAGTCTCGCTTCCTGTATGAAACAGACGGGAGGCGTTTTCCAGTCGTTATGAGCCGACTTGTCTGTCTTTATGGTCGAGGTAAGTGTTACTTTTTAACATGGTTTCGGACCGGTAGCGGGGCAGCCAAATCACAGCAACGAGTACTTGACAGGGCTCGCTGTTGCTGCTACTTCAACTGGCACGAGACAAGCGCTGTGATTCAGTAATCGTATCCTGCGACAAACGCTGTTGTGGGCACAAGTTGCTTTTTCACGTTTCATAAACGTCTGCGACTACAGTACAGCGCCAACGGCAGCAAGTGGAATGCTGATGGCAGCAGTCGCCGTTGCTTTCCATCAGGATGTCCGTCCACTGGTCGTACAAGTTTGTGGAGCTATTATTGAGCCACTTCAAATTCAGGTCGGAAGAAACCTAAGCGATTGACTGAGACTGACTATCGCCGTACCAGCTGCCTCACGGGACCTACCCCTTGTAGAATGTTGGTTTGCACTTGCGCCAAGTATGTCGCAGCAATCGGGGCGTGACCAGATTTGGGAAAGGGCTGTATACGTGAACGTGCGATTTGCTGCCTCTCAGCCAATCTGCGACTGGCACGGCGTAATATCAGCTGCTGTGCATGTCGCAGAGGAGACCAACTCGCAGGTTACCCAGTAGGACAGTGCATGTCAGCACACCAACATCAAAAGCTGCTGCAGCTGAAGCACTTTTTACCAGCAAAAATGACGCTTGCTTCGGAAAGGTACACTGACTGTAAACGCCTCACGGATCGTCGACTCTTGTGCTTCTGTCGACACGAGACATTGCTCACTGCACGAGCACTCCGAGCCCTGAGCTGCTTGTCTCGCGTAACGGTAGGAACCGTTGCAGCAGCAGCAGCATCAAGTGTGATCTTGTGAGAGGAGACAAAGTGCGCACGATCGCAACGCTTCCAGAAACTTCAACTACGCGGCATTTGTATACGTGATAGTGTTTCACATTGCCCGACTCTCGTGTGGATAAACACTGTGCAAATGCGTCATTCGAAAAAGCGGGTACCAGGTCCCCAACTGAGCTGGCGATGGCGTGGTCCTCTGACGTCAGTTTCAAAAGGCATCAAGTATACTGTAGTAGAAAGAGTCGTCGACGTAGCTAAAGTAGTAGTAGCAAAAGTAGTAGTAGTAGTAGCCGTCGTCGTTCGTCGTCCTTTTTTCCCGTTCCAATCAGACCGACCGACAAGTCTCGAGTCTACTCTCGAATGCGCCCACCCTAGCCCTATGTCTTCAATGTCGATATTGAAGATGGGTCATCTCCCTTCCAATTGGCTGAAACCTGCCTACACGCCCACTCATTGGCTCGTCGTTCGCCTCCATCCCTCACCAGCTGCTCACTGAATTTTTATCACCTTGCCCTCAGTTAGCAAAAAGACAGCAGCAAGTCAAGTCGCTTGCACTCACTCACTCCTTCACTCTCCCACTCCCTCTCTCTCGCGCGCAATCCCAACCGCAACAAGCACCCGCAGCAGAGTCCAACCAGCCGGCCATGCATACAATGCAGGTCAACTCCCTCGACCCGGCGCTACCAACGCCAGTCTCGTCGACCGCGCCCGCCGCCGCTCCCACGGCCCCGTCCTCCACCAGCAACAGCAGTCGCCGGCCACGCGCCCAGAGTCTGCAGCACTTTGGTCCCAAGTGCGCCGTGCCTCGCGAGTGCTGCAGCTCGGGCTCGTTCGTGAGCAAACTCTACCGTATGGTAGACGCCGAGCCGTCGACGATCGTCTCGTGGTGTCGCGGCGGCAGCGCGTTTTGCATTGTCGACCCCAAGCTCATGGCCGAGCACTGTCTGCCCAAGTACTTTCGCCACCGGCGGTTCTCGAGTCTCATTCGCCAGCTCAACTTTTACAGCTTCTACCGCGTCCAAGAGGGACAGCTCACGATCTACCAGCACTCGTTCTTCCGCAAAGGACGCGCGGATCTCCTCGTGCACATTAAACGGCGCGGGGCTGGCAAAGCTAAAGACCCGTGGTTTGACCCTCTTGCTGCAACGCCAAGCGCTACACTCCCCCCTGTGGACAACCAGGGGCTGCCGTCCTTGAGCAAGGCGGGTCAGACCCCAACGACGTCGTTGGGGTTTGTCTCGTGTTACTCGCCAATGGCCAAGTCAGTGGCTCTGGACAACATGTCGCCTGCGCTGAAGCCGGCCATGGTGCAGCTCTGTCCGCCGTCTGTGGAGCTCGGCAGCTCGTCTTTAACGGACGGACTGTGCATGAAGAAGGACGTGGACCCGTTGTTATCGGCACTCAATATGAAGAATGAGCTCTTGTTTAATGACCTGATGGACGCGAACGGGTCGCTGGCCAAAGCAGCGTGTGGCTTGGCAGCTACGCCACTGGATATGGACATTCAAGACTTTCTCACGGACGACTGCAACATCACGCCCGGGCAGAGTGACGACCGCTTGTGTAGCGGCGGCGCGAACACGACCAAGTGCGCGATGGTGTCCCGTGACTGTCTCAAGTTGGACGACCCGCAGCACATGGAGTCTGCTCCTGTGGTAGCAAGACAGGACGAAGCGTCCGAGTCAGCAAGTTTTGAGAACGAGGTGTTTCTGGACTTTGCGAGCGTGGAGCCGGGGGCATGGGAGGTGCCGCTGTCCCCTTTGAACGAGGAGGAGGATGTCATGCCGTGGCTAGATTTGTGCTTCTAGACTGTTTCGACGGCTGCAGTCGCTCACGTCGGCGACTGACTGATCGATAGACGACGCTGATATTTATCCAGGCTGCGCAGCCCGCGAGTCCGTCCCGTGTCTCCTTCCCCCCCCCCGGATTCTCCTTCAAGGCCCTTGCGAAGGTTTCAGTTGCCATAGGTCCCGTTATGACTCGAGTGCCGCGGGTTGTAGGTGTAGAGTAGGAAGAGACCATTTAAGTTAGCGATTTATTAAGACGAGGGCTAGGCCGTAGCAGTATGTAAAGTAGGATGTAGTAGGTGCACAGAGGAGCAGAGCAAAGCAAACAACTGACGTGATAATGATCACCAATATGGCAAACTTTGAAGTTGATGACGGTCCCATCTCGGTTGTTACGTCGCCACGGTATCTCTTCCTCGTACAGTCATCAATCAGTCTCGTGCTTTGCATTCGCCGACGGCATACACAAGTGAGCCCAAGTTTAACACCAGGCTACAGCAGCTATTGTGACCTTTGCACGCAAGCTGTGGCAGCACGACTACAAACGAGATCGATGCACCCTTTCAACTGGCACTTTTACTGCCTCCTCTCGGTGGCCATCATCCTTTTCAGTACCTGAAGACGGACACCCGACCTGCCACTGTCTGTGTCGACTGCCGCGCTTCCTCCTCCTTGAATGCCAACTTGGTATCCTTCTTCTCAGCACGCCGAGTCATTTTCTCCATCTTGACAGCGGCCTTGCGTATGCGCTTCTGCTCTTTGGTCTCACCCTTTGGCCTCCGGCTACTCTCTTGTTGCGGTGTCTGCTGCTTACTTGTCTCCGCCTTGTTCAGTGAGTTCGCAGCCTCGAAAACACCCAGCGGCATACCTGTCTTGCGTGACAATGTCACCTTCTGCTTACGAGTGTCTCCACCCTCTGCAGTACTGCTAAGCACCGGCTGTTTCTTCTTTTTGCGCCGAGTCGTAGTCTCTCGCAGAACCGTCGGATGGTTGCTCAGCGTCGAGTACGTACTCACGATGGTCTCACAGTCCCACGTCTCATGCTCTTCACGCTGCAAATACTGGTTGCGCTCGTAGAGCTCCTGCAGCTCCTTCTTTTCACGCTCAGTGCGCGCCGCCTGGTCTTCAGGTTCCTCTTCCTTCTCTGTCTCGGCGCCTTCATCATACTCGTATGCATAACGCTCGGCCTCGCACGTCTCCAGTACTTGCTTCAGATGATTGCCTTCACGCAGCGGATTGCCTAGCTTGCCCTCTGCGTCAGCAAGTTCTTGCTGCACAAAAACATAGTCCTCCACCACAGCGTCGAGAAGCTCACCGTCGAGCGTCTCCTTTCCGCGCGTCTCAGGGTCGTCCTCGTCCAGCTCACCAAGCTGCTCATCGTCGTACTCATCCGCCAGCGTCTTTTCAAAAAGTTCGTCCAGCACTCGCTGTGCTTCGTCACGCGTTTTCGACGTCTCAGCTTCGTCTTCGTCATCATCATAACCTTCACCGTCACTACGCTCCTCATCATCCTCACTAACGGATCCTTCACTGTCTGTCAAGTTGCCACGATACAACGGCGTGATGCCACTGGCAGCCTCCATCAGCTTGGCAATGTGTGCGTCATAGTCAAAGTCGTCAGCCTCACTCGGCTCGACATTCTCTTCCGCAGCCTGCATCATAAACGAATCGTCCAGCTCCTCGAACGCCTCATCATTCACCAGCGCCTCTCTCAAATCGTCATCCATGACATCCGTCGTCAACGTAATGGCTTGCAACAGCCGATCCTGCTCGTCAGCGCTCGGGAGCGCATCCAATGGCAACTCGACTTTCCTCGACAGCGCTCGAGCCGCTTCACCAGCGTCAAACCGACTCGTCGCCGAGTAAAACTTGCCCTGTCCCATCTCCTTCATATGCTGCGAATAGTCGTACCCATCTCTCGGCAATCCGTTCTCATCCACAAGATCTTCAGCTTCCACACCACCAAAGCGCACGCGACGAACGGGAAAAGCTCCTCTGGCCTTCACAGCCGGGGCTATTGACGCAACCTCCACAAGGTCCGGCATCTCGTCATCACTTTCGTCTTCCTCCTTATTAGGAATCGAGTCGTCAGTATCAGACCCGTTTTCAGAGCCCGACGAGTGCAGCTCCACGTTCTGATTGGACGAAAGGAGCACGTACTTGGACGCCTCGGGGTCGTTCGCCTTGGGGTCTCGTTGGCTGCGGTGCACCACGTGAAAGTGCTGCGCCGTTTTCTTGTTAATGAACTGTTTCTTACGACCCTGTGGGAGCATGCAGAGAAGAGAGCATCAGCATGAAGAGGTTAGAGCAGCAGCAGCAGCAGAGGGAGATGGCGAGGAGGTACGTACCATGACGACTGGTGTTGCGTTTGTGTGGAATAACGACCAATCAGGTCGACGAATTCGGGACGAGTGGGAGGGATGGGAACGAAACGGGTACACTTTGTAAACAACGGGGTTTTAGCGAGTTTGGTGTGAGGATGGTGAATCAAACAAACGGCTGCGCGTGTATACTGAAAAGTGCGCGGGCTTTGCGACAGCGTATACTGGACCGACAAGGGGTACGCGGCTCTCGCCACTCGCGTAACATGATCACGTCGCGAGCGTAAACAACGAGGGCGAATAAGTCAATACAGTAGTTTCTCCAATGACGCTGCTTCGTTCACACGAGTGCAGTAGTAAAGGTGCTTGTTGCGAGTCGTCAGTTCTTCATCTGCCTACCTAAAGACAAGCACTGGCTGGGAGTACAGTCGAAGAAGCGCGAACATTTGTCAAGGATTTCGGAAAACATGCCTTGCACTTTGTATATAGCGAAGCAGTACGTCTAGGACAGCACTAGTAAGCAAGCCTCTAGACGTCTACGAGACGTAAGCTGTGCACATCCACGCGTACAGGTTGGCGTCTCGTCAATCTGCTCACCGTTTCGGACACCACTCTGTCTTCCGCTTCAACGCACCATTCAGGCGTACCAACTAGCTCCGAAACGTATATTTTTCAGTACATCGCCGCACTACAGTTCGCCAAAGCGCTCGAGCTGAGGCGTCTACTGCTCTCTGACCCTGGACATTGAAAGCGTAAAGACCTACACATCGAAAGGACGCATACTTCAATCGGGCACTTCCAACCTCATGGTCCATTCGAGCGTGATGTGGTGGTTGCAACACTATTACGATCGCTTGACACATCAGACCCGAGTGCAGGACTTTGGCGTGTGTTATGGGTACGACAGCACTACTAACGACGCTATGACATCGTTGTGGTACCTTAGCTAACACCTTGGAGGAGCCGCGATCGTCCGCCACAACGAAGCACCCGATGATCTGGTTCTGATCCGGTCGGCTGCAGTGAAGAGCACCGCTTGACATCAAGTGGTGAGTGTTGCCAGGCCTTGTTCACGAGACAGCTGGTGGTTCTGACCACGACGTCTGCTCACCAGTGCAAGTTCGTCGGTTGCTACGTCCGCAACCTCAGCACAAGAGCAGCAGCCGGTGTTGCCTCTTTCCTCTATCTCCGTCATCTCCATCACCAACACAAAGAAACTCTCTCAACTTGTAGCGGTAAATCTCCTCACTTTTACACCAGCCGCGACCTGCTCGCTTGGCCATCCACTTCCTCGCCCTCGACTCGGTTGCTAGCATGGCAGCGTCATTGCCACAGCGTTATCCCATCAATGAACCCGACAAGTCGCGCCGTGCTACAGTACCAGCAGACCTACGATGCCGAGCACAGAGCATTCCCGTACCAGCTCGATCAACCAAGAACATCGCATTGATTCGTGTTCCTGACGGCGAAGCGCAAGCGTTCCGTCACCTCGCTCACAGCATCATCTCACGAACGTTAGCTCATGAAACTGAGTACCACCGCATGCAACGTCCCAAGCTGGATCAGTGCGACTGGAAGCTATTGAAACGCCATAGCGACCTCTCTATCTACAAACGCCGCGTGGCAAAGCAGCAGGGGCAGGGGCACGCGACGCGACCATCAGTTGTGTGCGTTGGTTCAATCCCAGGACAACTTGAAGACATCCTGTTCGGCTTGCACGCAAAAACGCGCGACGAGATGCAGGTAGTACTGCCTTTCCTCAGCAAAGGATACGTAGACTGTGCGCTGTTGGCAAAGCTGGAAGAAGGGTCGTTGACTGACCCGTACCGTCAACTAGCTCTCAAATGGCATCGAAGTGACGCTTTCTCCGAGGCCAAGCTCCTGAAAGATCGTGATTTGTGCATCCTTGAGTCCATGGGCATCAGTACCGATGCGCAAGGTGAGCGGTACGCCTACTACCTCATGCAGAGCGTGGACTATACCGGGTGCCCACCTCCGCTCGAGACGAGCGACGTTATCCGAGCGAACGTCATGGTTTGCTGCATCTACCGGCAACTGCCAGGGCACCACTTTGTGAACGTGTATGCTAAAGGAATGTTCGACTTGGGGGGTGGTGTCCCCAACTATCTGGTCTACAACACATCGAGTTCTCTCATCTTTTCAGTCCTCAGCGCTACCGACTGTGCTGAAGCCAAGCGCCTGACGCTCCTCGCACTGAAAAGAGCAGAGTGCTCCGTGTATTCCTCGACTGACGAGTTGTCGTCTTTTGACCTCGAAGCTGTTGAAGACACGAGCGAGTCGACTCGATCAGGCGTCTCCGACTCGACCTCAACGGTCTCGTCCGGCATTGCAGCCATGTCTCCAAGTATATCTCGTCTACTGTTTACAGGCTCCTGGACAACAGGACAACTAAAACGACGGCAATCAGGCGCTACATCCTGCTGCGTGTGCTCGAAGCGACCTGTTCTAGCATCCATCACAGGCGCTACACATCGCACGTGTGGCGTCTGTCTCCGAGGTGTCTGCTCGAAGTGCTATGTTAAGCGTCAACTGTTAGCCCATCAGCAGTCTGTGCCCGTCGTGTGCTGTAAATCGTGTCTACTCAAAGCCAAGCAGCTCCAAGTGAGCCCACTGGACCCGTGCCCAACGCTTTCGATCGAACGATGATACTTTCGCATCGCACTCTCCGTCGTGAATAAATTACCGTCATTTAAAACGCACTGTGCACCAGTCATTTTTTGACCTCTTGACCGTTTCAACCGACAAAAACGATCTCATTGATCAGTCGGCACTCGGTCATGTCTTCGCTCACGCTGTCGCTCCCAACGCCCCCGCTGGACGCTTTGCAGCCCAAAGTCCTCGTGGGTCTTGGCGGCTATTTCTCGCAGAAACGCGTTGAATCTGCGGGTCGATCGTACCATAAACGCGCACGCAATGCCGCACGGGGACGGTCAGCCAGCTGCGACGAGGTGGATGACAGTGTGAAGGCACGGGACGCACTGCGCAAACATGAAGAGTCAGTGCTGCGCAAGTACCGCCGCAGTATCCGAGGCAAGAACTTCTTGGAGCTGACAATGTACCAGCAGCTGGGACTGAGCCACTTGGGCTTTGATGTGACGGATGAGCAAGTGAAGAAGGCGTACCACCGCGTGCTGATTGAGCACCACCCGGACAAGACGGGCAAGACCGACAACGATCCCAACTATTTGGCCGTGCAAAAAGCGTTCGCAACGCTCATGGACCCGCAGAAGAAGCGCGCGTACGACTCTCAGTGCGACTTTGACGAGTGGATCCCGTCCGGTACGGAGAAGATCGCTGAGAACGAGAGTAATGGAGAAGGCAAGAGTTTCTACGATCTCTATGGTCCCGTGTTCACAGCGAACGCCCGCTTTAGTGCCAACCGACCCGTGCCAACGCTCGGTGGAGACGACAAGTCCATTGACGAGGTGTATGCGTTTTACGACTTTTGGAACAAGTTTGACTCGTGGCGCGACTTCAGTCACGACTCGGAACATGATGTGGACTCGGCGGAGCACCGCGATCATAAGCGCTGGATGGCGAAGAAGAATGAGGCTGCTGCCAAGAAGAAGAAGAAAAAAGAGTACGCTCGACTGGCGAGTCTCGTGGACCGCGCGCTGGCTGTAGACCCGCGTATTCGTCGCGTGAAACAGGCAGAGAAGGACCGCAAGGCTCAGGCCAAGCGTGAGAAAGAAGAGGAAGCTCAGCGGTTGATTGACGAGGAGAACCGCAAGAAGGAGGAGGAAGCGCGCGCTGTGCAAGCAGCCGAAGAGCAGCAGAAGAATGCCCGGATGGATGCCAAGATGATCAAGGAGAAGCAGAAGAAGCTGCTGCGAAAGGTGAAGAAGGTGTTCCGTGAACTCATGGTGGCTACGAGAGAGCAGGGGCTTGACGGGTCCATTGACGTCATCAGGACTGAAGATCTGTGCGACGCGCTCGACATCGAAGTGCTGCAAGCCCTTGTGGCTGCTTGCGGAGGATCGGCCGACAAACTGGACGCCTCGGGTTTGGCTGCTGTTCAAGATGCTGTAGCCAAGCTGTAAAGAGTCCGAGAGTGCCGTTGCACAACAGGCACATCGATGCCGATGACGAGAGTCCTAGTGAACGTACAACACGAGTACCGCGTTGCTAATAAAGCGACTCTAGTTGCGACGACTTCGTTTGATCCTCCATTGCTATCGCTAGTGACAAGGCATGGAGACAGGTGGTTATGTCATGTTACTAGCGCTAGACCTTTTGATACTTCACGGTGCCATCGTCAAACGCCTGCCATCTCTACGCAACAAACGCAAGACTGCAGGGCCAATTAATGTAGAGGCAGCATCCACAGGTGGCGACATCACTGCCGGTGACTACGTGGTCACCGTGAACGGTATGAGTGTTGCCAATACGGCGCAGTTCAAATCGCTTGTCAGTAAGACGCCGCGGCCGATCGTACTGCGCTTCCGACGCAAGTGTAATGCAGCCTACGATCTCTTTGGCGAGCGTGCACGGGAGGATGGAGGAAATGATCTCTTTGGTTAGACGGGGAACACCTCAGTTGGTGGCTAGCGGCTGTAGCCACTTCAAGCCGAGATTGTTCAAGTGTGATGATCCTTTTTCCAGCTCAAGCGCTTGCTCTTGCTATGGTGCACGCAACTCTTGTAGTTTCTGTACCACTTGGTGGTCTTGGTGCGAGGCTGGAATGGGCCATAAGCTTCCTGATAGCAGCAGGACACTTGGTCGTTGCAAGCGACCGAGAGTGGCTGAACGAAAGCTAGACGTGAAGGTGGGAGGCTTGATGAAGGGGGTAACTGTTGAACACAAGTGTGCGTGGTCAGTCACTGAACGGCTGATCCTGCACCCACGTCTGGCCGAGGAAGAGTTCTATGTGGTAAACGTCGAGTAAGTGTGGTGCTGACCTCCATGGTCCCGAGGCAGTCAGCACCGTTCAGTTGTCCTTCAGCGAGTTGATCAGAGCATCAGGACTGCGCCTTGTCCAGCTCGCAAGCGCTCGTCACGCAATAGCAATGGTAACGACGGACCGACGTGTGTCTCGAGAGGCACGAGTGACTCGTCGGTGACTTTGCACGACTGAGAGTGACGACAACAACTTAGGCATAACGATGCGAGGACAGGGCACCATAGTACTATGTTTGATGCGTCCGGTGAGTAGATCAAGTGCCGCGATAAGCATGTTGAAGCAACGTCGTCCCTTGTGTACAAGTACATGAGGAGATCAATCTGTTGCCGACTGCCAGCTCGTTTCACAAGTGTAATTTAATGCGCTCGATGTGTCCTAGAGCGCTCAGCGACACCAGCGATGCAGCGTGAGCTCCGTCTATCGGCAACGTTTTTGACCATTGACCTCTTGTACGTACAGCACTACATTGGACTCAATGGGTCGAAAGTCGGACCTGCGCGATGCATCGTGTCGTCATTGTGTTGATAGTAATATGCACACAAAGCCAAAGCTACGCCATTGTTGTTAGAACTGCTCCGCTCTACTTAGCCGGTCAAGACTTTGTTGAAGGCCATTCCATTTGTTGAAGGCCATTGATCGGTGTTTTTCTTGATTTCGGCGCCAGGACTCTGAATTATCTCGCAACTTTGAGTTCCACCCACAGCACGAATAGTAGCTAAGGTCGCGCTCAGTTAGATACTCGGTATGCAACGCGGCGATCGAACAGCTTCTTAAATGTCGGTGTAACGGGGTAGCCCGTTACATGAAATTGACACCAAACGGTGTCAATAGGAATATTGTCTAGCAAGACAACATTCTACCGATATTATCCGAGATGGATCATATTGAAGGAATATTATCCCCTTTTGGATAATATACATTCGCTGCTCCAAGATTGGTTGATATAAGACATATCAACCATAGATTGCCACCAATCGCTGCTTGACGCGCGCAATGAGTGGTGAGCAGGTTGTCGTCATTCGACAATGTAGATTAGTATAATTAGATAAAGACTGAGGTTATATTGATAGCTTAGCTATATTAAATACAGTTCTCTTTTTACCTTTACTTGACCGAGTCGTTCAAGTAGATTAGCTTCCTCTGCACGTACTAGTGTACGTGAAGTTTCGCGGCACCCCAAACAAAGGGTGCCCCGTAACACCTGGTAGCACTTCGTAGTCCGTATAACGACTACTGAGTGTCCGTCCAACATGAACATGTTGGACGTAGAAGACAACAGCTTTCACGTTACACGTGAAGGCTACTCCCATCAGAGTGACTCAGAATGGGAGGTTGTCGGCCGCATGAGTGTGCTCATGGGCGAACCCGCCATCAGTGGTATGTTGGAGTCTTTAAGCAGAGATTAGCAACATGCTGCTACTAACAAGTTCCTACAAGTGGAACTTGCCGTAAAACGACAGAAGATAGCCTTGCTACAGCAGCAAGCATCTCATCAGTCGATGGGCGGGCCGACGCACATGCGTCCACCCGAAACCCTGAAGATTGAGATCTCAAAGAACAAAGGAACCGACGAAGATCCCCTCTTGAGATGGTTCGTCGAGTTAGACGATGTCGTCCGGGCCCGTCACATCGAGGGTGACGAGATGCAAGTCACCTCCGCCCTGTCGAATTTGACGGGACGAGCAAAGACTTGGGCCTTAGGGCTCAAGCTTTACGACCCAAACGTGTTTGAGTCGTTAGAGATCTTGAAGTCTCGGCTTAAAGAGACGTTTGAGCCGCCGAGAGCCGAGTTCAGAGCACGCTCTGCACTCTTGAGGCTAAAGCAAGGTAAGCGTGACGTGCACGCTTACTCACAGCACCTGCGCCACCTTGCAAGTAGCGTTACGGAGAACCCTGTTGATGAGCATACGCTCATCAACGCGTTCATCTACAGCCTTGTGGATGGTCGGGTGAAGACCTACATGTTCCGAGAGGACTTCCATACGCTGGAAAAGGAGATAGCGCATGCGGAACAAGAAGACTTCAGCCTGAGACAGTCTCAGGCTAACTCGTCAAACTATCGTCCGACGAGGCAGCAGGAAACAGGAGGTCCCGAACCAATGGACCTCTGTTACATCGAGAGCGAGAACTCTCGCTCTCTGAGTCACAAGCGAACGGCAAGATACCACCGCTGTCATAAGATTGGACACTACGCCCACAAGTATAGTGTACCGAGTACCGCATCACGTCCAAAGACAGGACGTGATGACCACCGTTGGCTAAGGAAATGTCCGAGGCGTGGGTCCGACCATGTCGCCAAGTCGCGACAGCAAGTCGGACCGTCTAAAAACGTTCAGTGTCAGTAGGAGCGGAGCACCCTGCTGATCCAGCAACGTCAAGAGAATTTGCAGGACTCTTGACGAAGATTGCTCCCAACACGCAGTCTCTGTGTGTTACTGCCCTTAGTGATGAGGAGTCTCTCATCACTTTGAAGATCGAAGTGACAAGTGGAATGCCACTTGTCACTTCGATATTCAAAGCTTCGCGCCCTAGTTGACTGTGGTGCGTCGAACAGTTTTATTCGACGTCAGTCGCTAGGGGATAGTAGGCTCAACTATGTTGAGCGAGAGTTCCCTCCAACGAAGATGACGGTGTGCCTTGCTACAGGCGCATCCGTAACAGTGAACAAACTTGTAGTGAGAATCCACTACACGCTAGAAGGAAAACAGTACGATGATGACTTTATCGTACTGGATTTAAATGACAAATTTGATGTCATCCTTGGTCTGCTATGGCTTAGAAAGTACCAGCCATGGGTTAGCCGGCAGCATCGATCCGTGAAGATGCCTGCCGTTTGTTATCGGATGGCCATCTGATGAACGTCGTGGAGAGTCCACAAGCGTGTGGATGTACTGCGAGTGAGTGCGATGGCCTCACTTGTGGTACAGTCGTTAGTACGATTGCACAAGATCACAGTGTAGAAGGCCACTGCACTGTGGAACCAGCTTCCGGAACCTGTGTAGAGACACAGGCTGCGCCGAGGGTTCACCACTCGAAGATATCGAGTGGACTGGAACACGGATGCACACCAAGAAGGGTGCATCCGAGAAGAGAGAGTAGTGTTGTTCAGGATGGACAACACGTTGAAGCGAGATCGACTATCAGAGAGTCGATCGTAGAGCAAGCCCGCTCGACTGAAAGAGAGTCGATCGAAGAGGACGCGACCGTGATAGTCCACGTAACGGAAGAAAATTCCGGCGTTCCTGAGATCAATAACTCCCGAGAGAGTTATATTGAGGGTGTGGATCCCCAACCACCTGCGGATGTGTTTACCCAGGCAATCACCGAGTCAATTAATGTCTTGGTGAATGACGGGTCAAGTGTAGGCGCTTATACACTTGATCTGGTGACGCCCCCGAAGTCAGCTTCGGAGGTGGTCAAGCTGCCAACGATAGAATCTAAAAGATTCTTGCGAGATCTGCGTAGTGACAAGATCAAGCAGATCTGCGTACTCGTCACAGAGGACGAGTACATCGCCGATATTCGGTCGGCACAAGTGTTTGCTGAGAACGAACGGGTTCTCAGTAGCTCATCTATGGACGAGAGTGTCCTCGATGAGAAGACCCGAATTGATCGATACACGTCTCAATCTTGGGAGTCTTTAAAGACAAATCCTTTGTATAAGGATTTGGTGGAATTCAGGGATGTTTCCCGGAATCCGTGCCATGCGAGCTGCCCAAGGACAAAGGCAATCGGCATGAAATCGAACTGAAACCTGGTTCGAAATACTGTGTCATGAAGCAGTGGCCACTGCCTCGTGAACAGGTCACGGCGGTCGACAAATTCTTTGCCGATCGATTAGCGGCTGGTCATGTGAGGGAATCAACATCCCTACACAGCTCTCCGACCTTCTGTGTGCGAAAGTCTACAGGAGGGTGGCGGATAGTGCGCGCGTTCAACAAATTGAATGCTGCAACGGTACCGGCTCAAACGCCGATCCCAAGAAAGAATGTCATCATAGATGGTATGGCAAAGAGTACCATCTTTTCATCCATGGATTTGATGGATGGATTCTATCAGATCCTCATGCGTGAACGGGATATCCCTTACACAGCAGTGAGCACCCCCAGTGGTATGCTCTGGGAGTGGCTAGTGATGCCACAGGGGCTAAGTAACTCCCCCGCAACGTTCAACAGATGTGTTACGAATCTGTTGCGATCGGTGCGCGACTTCGCACCGAGTTACTTCGACGATGTCTTCGTCCATAGACGGGCTATGGATGGAAAGACGGACGTGGAGGTTCATAGAATACACGTCCGGAAGGTTCTTACTCTAAAACGAGAGCATAAGTTCTTCGAGAACCTCAAAAAGTGTATATTCGCAGCGAACGAAATACCACTTCTTGGCTGCATCGTGGGTAAAACGGTGTACACCCTGATCCGGAAAAGATCAAGGCGATTAGCTACTGGCCTGTGCCAGTCGACGTCAAGGGACTTCGAAAGTTCCTTTTCTTGGCGGCATACTTGCACAAATACTCGCGCAACTATGCCGAGATGACTGTACATCTCTCGTCTACTAAAGAAAAACGAGAGGTGATCATGGTGCGCTGAGTGTCAGCACTCTTTTGAAGGCATCAAGAAAAGCTTGGTGCAATCGCCTGTGTTGGCGATCGCATATCAGGATAGACCATTTCATGTGGTCTGTGACACCAGCGATTTTGCAATCGGCTGCGCGTTAATGCAGTACGACTCAGACGGCTTGAGCAAAGCTTGGCGCAATCGCCTGTGTTGGCGATTGCATACCAGGATAGACCATTTCATGTGGTCTGTGACGCCAGCGATTTTGCAATCGGCTGCGCGTTAATGCAGCACAACTCAGACGGCTTAAGCAAAGCTTGGTGCAATCGCCTGTGTTGGCGATCGCATATCAGGATAGACCATTTCATGTGGTCTGTGACGCCAGCGATTTTGCAATCGGCTGCGCGTTAATGCAGTACGACTCAGACGGCTTTGAGCGCGTCGTCTCTTATAAATCGCGTCAGCTGCAAGCAGCTGAGCGAAATTATCCGGTGCATGAAAAGGAACTCCTTGCCATGAAATATGCACCGGCCAAGTTTCGGGTATATCTCTTAGGAGATAGGACCTTCATCACTTGTACCGACCATGCGTCGTTGCGCACGGCCGTAAACAGTCCACACCTCTTGCAACGAACGGCGGGGTGGCTGTCTTTCTTCGCGGAGTACAACTTCTCCGTCGAGTGTAAACCAGGACGACTTAATGTCGTCGCTGATGCTCTTTCGCGTCGGCCCGATTTCCAGCCGACTGCTCAACCCAACAGCAGGGATGATCCCACTGGAGCAACACTAACAGTGAGTGTTCCGTCGTCGAATCTGCTCGATGAAGTGCGAAAAGCATACAAAGAAGATGAGTCTCTTCTGCGGTTGATGGATTACGTATCCAATCCGTGTAATCAAGAATTGAAAAGCTTGTCGCCTCAATACCGCTCTTCAACCGAACGGTATTCTGTTCGTGATGGACTGCTGTACTATACAGCAGACAACGGCGGCACACCTCCTGTCGTCGTTCCGGCTCATAACGATTTGCGACTGCGCATCATGTATGAGTGTCACGATGCCCCAACAAGTGGGCATCGCGGTAGAGAAAAGACTTACCTCATGGTGAGTCGTGACTTCTACTGGCCCCGCCAGTATGAGCTCGTGCGGAAATGCATTCCCACTTGCGAAGTTTGCTAGCGGGTGAAGCCTAGTTCCTTCATCCCGCGCACCCTTACAGCCTCTTCCGATTCCGGCAGAGTGTTGGCAGTCCGTATCGATGGACTTCGTCTTCGGGTTTCCCAAAGAAGTTCACAAGAATACTGGTATTCTTGTGTTTGTTGATCGTTTCAGCAAGATGGTACATCTTGTTGCAGTACCGGAGTCAGTCACAGCCCAGGGCCGTGCGCGTGTCTTCATCGATACTATCTTCCGACTTCACGGGTTACCCCGTGAACTCGTGTCCGATAGGGACCCCCGCTTCACAGCGGAGTTATGACAATCCGTGTTCCGTTCACTTGGAACACGTTTGACGATGTCAACTTCTGACCATCCCGAAACAGATGTTCAAACGGAACGCGTCAACCGCGTTCTCGAAGAGATACTTCGAGGGTATGTCCACTCGTTTACGAGCTGGAGTGAGTTCTTGCCGATGGCGGAATTCGCCATCAACAACTCGGTGCACGCGTCTACAACGCATACACCGTTCTTTGTGAATGGCCTACTCCATCCACGTTTACCCGTCTTTTAGAGTGTGACTCTAGTTTAAGGGGGGGGGGACTCGCTCGAACAAAACCCGATCTGGTTCTTGCTCATCACACGTCGAAAATGATGTCGACATGATGGATGCCAGTGTCGATGCGATTGATATCGATGATGACGACGATGCTGGCATATTCAGCATCGCCAATGACCTCCAAAGTGAGGACGGTGACACCCTCACTGGTGAAGACAACGTCCTTTCAGCAGTGCACACGAAGCGCACTGCTGTTGATAAGGATGAATCAGCAGATGAATTTCTGCTGACTCGCGAAGCGGTTGTCCGCTTCGTTCAAGTTTCTATTGCAGATGCATGAGACAGACAGAAGAGAAACACAGACAAACATGGAAGAGCAAATGTTCTTTCATTTGATGAAGGAGACCTAGTTTTACTGTATACAGTAAACCTACCGAAACACGCGGTGACAAACGTGGGCAGCAGTAAATTACTGCCCAAGTACATCGGTCCATTTCGTGTGTTGCGCCGAACTGCCCCGTAAGATGCGCACGCATCCTACGTTGTACGTCGGTCGTCTCCGCCCGTAATATCAGTAAGAGCCCGTTTCGAGATGCGAAGAACACCTCCACAGTCGAGAGCCGAGACAACCTTCGAGTGGTCCCGTTTCAACGAACCAGTCTGGTCGACTAGCGAAGCGACCTGTTCACGCAGAACAGCGATGTCTCGATGAGCTGCAGCCAGATCATCACGAAGAGAACGAGTCGAACGTTCGTTCTCAAGTTGCGCGAACGAAAAAGCAGCACGATCTTCCGAACGATCGTGCGTTAGGAAATTACAATTATTCCTCACGAGATCCTCAAGCCCATAACACCGAGATTGTTCATGAGCCAGGTCATCTTGCAGCTGTTCCGTTACACGGTTCAGCTCTTGAACATCAAGATGATCCGACCCTCGAGCCGGATCAGGTGTTCCCACCGCCATCACATCCTTTGGTGGACTCAAGCGGTCGTCAACGCTTCCTAGTGGAGCGAATTTTGAACCACCGCGATGTGAATGTCGTCCGGACGAGTTACCTCGTCCGCTGGCGTGGCTATCCGCCGGCGTGGGACAGCTGGGAGCCTCGTGCCCAGCTGATTGTTGATGTCCTTGGTCTCGTCGAGCAGCATGACGAGACTCACCCGCTGTGTTTGAAGAAGGGCCGTCGGAAAACGACCTCCCCGAACGCGAGTACAGGGATCGCAAAGTGTCGATCCCTTCGGCCATCTCGGAGGAGATGCGCGCCCACCAGTAGGGATCATTAGGAGGGTAGGCCTCCCTAGGGGCACGGTTCGAGTTGTCCAGGCAACCTGGACACGAATCACCCCACGAGAGACAGGGTAATCCTGCCTCTCTTGAAAGCCGGTGCAACCTGTATTGCGCCCCGACTGGATTGCGTTTCTCAAACCTGATGCGAGCTGCATCAAGTTTAGCGAGCCAAGCCTCACGGTCAATGCACTCGATGTTGTGGATGAGGGCATTCCATCCCTGCACCAAGGCTTTGCCGTCCCGAACAGGATACCATTTTACCACCGATGTTTGAAGAACGCATCGGTGAAGAACTCTTCCTCAGCACGGATAGTATCCGTGCTGGAATCAGGTGGGCAAATCTCCCTGCAATCGAACAACGGGATTCGATCCCGTTCGGTAGTCGTGCCGGCCAACCGTTCCAACTCTCTGGATGGCGGCATCCACGAAGACTCCACTTGAAGAGCTTGGCGCAGGACATTTCGGTCCCTAGCCTCTTGATTGGTGCCAGCATGAGCACTGGCACCAGTGTTACTCCGATCCCTCGAGTAACTTCGCTCGTGGTGATGTATAGGTGCATCACCACCATCCCCACGCGTCCTATCGTTGGATGGACTTGCGTGAGGCGGAGACTCATCGGAATAATCACTCGATCCGAAGATCTCGGTCACAATACCGCCGCGCTGACCAGAGCCAGTCAGTCTGACTCTTGCAGTGTCCGCTCCGGGTTATCCCGAGACGTGATGTGTCGCCTTCGAGTCGGATGCATCATCCAACTCGCCAGAATAGATGAGCTCTATCTCAGACTCGTCTTGATTACGACCCGAGGTAACCGCTGCAGACGCAACGGATGTACCTGTCACACGTGGTGACTCACCACGTGGAGGATTCACGACAACAGGTGACGAATCGCCTGCTGCTGGGGTGTGAGAGGCACTTTTCGCGGCCGCACGCATGCGTGCAGCCTCTCTTCTTGCTGCTGCAGTAGCAGCTTGCGTGGTTTTTGAAACCATGCGTTGGATTGGCAAATGAACGGAATTTGACCAACAAGTGCTCCCTTTCCCAGAGTGATCCAACGGTGGTCACCCTGTCCCAATCAATTCTGATTCAATCAACGGGTGATTGATGGTTAAAGGGGAGGGGTGATGTAACGGGGTAGCCCGTTACATGAAATTGACACCAAACGGTGTCAATAGGAATATTGTCTAGCATGACAACATTCTACCGATATTATCCGAGATGGATCATATTGAAGGAATATTATCCCCTTTTGGATAATATACATTCGCTGCTCCAAGATTGGTTGATATAAGACATATCAACCATAGATTGCCACCAATCGCTGCTTGACGCGCGCAATGAGTGGTGAGCAGGTTGTCGTCATTCGACAATGTAGATTAGTATAATTAGATAAAGACTGAGGTTATATTGATAGCTTAACTATATTAAATACAGTTCTCTTTTTACCTTTACTTGACCGAGTCGTTCAAGTAGATTGGCTTCCTCTGCACGTACTAGTGTACGTGAAGTTTCGCGGCACCCCAAACAAAGGGTGCCCCGTTACAGTCGGGACTCTCGCCGTCAATATTCAAGACGTTACAAGAAGAGTTTTCCATCGTTAGAACTAAGTATCGTCCGCGACTCGTCTATAGAGTAGCCACTTACTAGGTGAAAAATGTCAGCGACTCAGTACAGCGCCTGACATGGGCAACTTTGTACAGCCACCTTCCTAAGTCTTCCACAAGCCCAGCTGACATGTTGCCTTCAACGATACGCAAACACCGCATGACCCTGCGATGAAATTCAGGCAATCAGCTAGAGATGGTGGAGCGGCATAACGATGGCCTTAGCTGTCTGATGTTCTACAGCGTATGGCCATGTAAGATCTGACATTTTGCAACCAGTTCTCACCCATCTAGTCGAAAGCAGTTCTCGTAGAGCAATCCCTGATTCTTACGATGCATCGGCACGCTTCGGAATCAACTTCGCCACACGGGCAGAAACGAAAAGAATGCGCTTACAATGCTTCTCAGATAGCCTTCATCCTCATCAAACGCAGCACGCCTCCAAGAATATACCTCCTGTCGACCTTGTCAGCCGCAAAGTCAGTGTCGCTGAATGATTCCAGTTGCAGTTCTTGACAGATTGCTTGAGCCGGAGTCATTGTAACCTATAAACATGACGTGCCCTTTGAGCATCGAGCAGTCCTTTTAGCGAGTTTCCAGTCGAACATACGCGGCGCATGTGTGTGTCGTGTAATCTTGTGTACCGCGAATGCGATGTAGAGTCGCCTACAACGCGTAATCCAGAGTAAATTGCCGACCAGCGATTAAAATTCGCGTACAGTTGGGCCACTGCCTGTGCTTGTCGGTCCAATCAGCTCCACTTCATCAGCTGGCGCATCGTAGCAATCACCGCCGATCGAAACGCGCGTCAAATTTGCTCCTGCTGACCAATTGGCTCGCTAAAGATCATCATCGACCCCTCCTGGTCCAGGTTGTATCCGCCTGTACCAATAAGCTTACACTACACCCTAAGTGTAACGGGGCACTCTTTGTTTGGGGTGCCGCGAAACTTCACGTACACTAGTACGTGCAGAGGAAGCTAATCTACTTGAACGACTCGGTCAAGATAAGGTAAAAAGAGAACTGTATTTAATATAGTTAAGCTATCAATATAACCTCAGTCTTTATCTAATTATACTAATCTACATTGTCGAATGACGACAACCTGCTCACCACTCATTGCGCGCGTCAAGCAGCGATTGGTGGCAATCTATGGTTGATATGTCTTATATCAACCAATCTTGGAGCAGCGAATGTATATTATCCAAAAGGGGATAATATTCCTTCAATATGATCCATCTCGGATAATATCGGTAGAATGTTGTCATGCTAGACAATATTCCTATTGACACCGTTTGGTGTCAATTTCATGTAACGGGCTACCCCGTTACATCACCCCTCCCTTTGACCATCAATCACCCGTTGATTGAATCAGAATTGATTGGGACAGGGTGACCACCGTTGGATCACTCTGGGAAAGGGATCACTTGTTGGTCAAATTCCGTTCATTTGCCAATCCAACGCATGGTTTCAAAAACCACGCAAGCTGCTACTGCAGCAGCAAGAAGAGAGGCTGCACGCATGCGTGCGGCCGCGAAAAGTGCCTCTCACACCTTAGCAGCAGGCGATTCGTCACCTGTTGTCGTGAATCCTCCACGTGGTGAGTCACCACGTGTGACAGGTACATCCGTTGCGTCTGCAGCGGTTACCTCGGGTCGTAATCAAGACGAGTCTGAGATAGAGCTCATCTATTCTGGCGAGTTGGATGATGCATCCGACTCGAAGGCGACCCATCACGTCTCGGGATTACCCGGAGCGGACACTGCAAGAGCCAGGCTGACTGGCTCTGGTCAGCGCGGCGGTATTGAGACCGAGATCTTCGGATCGAGTGATTATTCCGATGAGTCTCCGCCTCACGCAAGTCCATCCAACGATAGGACGCGTGGGGATGGTGGTGATGCACCTATACATCACCACGAGCGAAGTTACTCGAGGGATCGGAGTAACACTGGTGCCAGTGCTCATGCTGGCACCAATCAAGAGGCTAGGGACCGAAATGTCCTGCGCCACGCTCTTCAAGTGGAGTCTTCGTGGATGCCGCCATCCAGAGAGTTGGAACGGTTGGCCGGCACGACTACCGAACGGGATCGAATCCCGTTGTTCGATTGCAGGGAGATTTGCCCACCTGATTCCAGCACGGATACTATCCGTGCTGAGGAAGAGTTCTTCACCGATGCGTTCTTCAAACATCGGTGGTAAAATGGTATCCGTGTTCGGGACGGCAAAGCCTTGGTGCAGGGATGGAATGCCCTCATCCACAACATCGAGTGCATTGACCGTGAGGCTTGGCTCGCTAAACTTGATGCAGCTCGCATCAGGTTTGAGAAACGCAATCCAGTCGGGGCGCAATACAGGTTGCACCGGCTTTCAAGAGAGGCAGGATTACCCTGTCTCTCGTGGGGTGATTCGTGTCCAGGTTGCCTGGACAACTCGAACCGTGCCCCTAGGGAGGCCTACCCTCCTAATGATCCCTACTGGTGGGCGCGCATCTCCTCCGAGATGGCCGAAGGGATCGACACTTTGCGATCCCTGTACTCGCGTTCGGGGAGGTCGTTTTCCGACGGCCCTTCTTCAAACACAGCGGGTGAGTCTCGTCATGCTGCTCGACGAGACCAAGGACATCAACAATCAGCTGGGCACGAGGCTCCCAGCTGTCCCACGCCGGCGGATAGCCACGCCAGCGGACGAGGTAACTCGTCCGGACGACATTCACATCGCGGTGGTTCAAAATTCGCTCCACTAGGAAGCGTTGACGACCGCTTGAGTCCACCAAAGGATGTGATGGCGGTGGGAACACCTGATCCGGCTCGAGGGTCGGATCATCTTGATGTTCAAGAGCTGAACCGTGTAACGGAACAGCTGCAAGATGACCTGGCTCATGAACAATCTCGGTGTTATGGGCTTGAGGATCTCGTGAGGAATAATTGTAATTTCCTAACGCACGATCGTTCGGAAGATCGTGCCGCTTTTCGTTCGCGCAACTTGAGAACGAACGTTCGACTCGTTCTCTTCGTGATGATCTGGCTGCAGCTCATCGAGACATCGCTGTTCTGCGTGAACAGGTCGCTTCGCTAGTCGACCAGACTGGTTCGTTGAAACGGGACCACTCGAAGGTTGTCTCGGCTCTCGACTGTGGAGGTGTTCTTCGCATCTCGAAACGGGCTCTTACTGATATTACGGGCGGAGACGACCGACGTACAACGTAGGATGCGTGCGCATCTTACGGGGCAGTTCAATCGTGTATGCGTTGGCCATTCGGCGCAACACACGAAATGGACCGATGTACTTGGGCAGTAATTTACTGCTGCCCACGTTTGTCACCGCGTGTTTCGGTAGGTTTACTGTATACAGTAAAACTAGGTCTCCTTCATCAAATGAAAGAACATTTGCTCTTCCATGTTTGTCTGTGTTTCTCTTCTGTCTGTCTCGTGCATCTGCAATAGAAACTTGAACAAAGCGGACAACCGCTTCGCGAGTCAGCAGAAATTCCTCTGCTGATTCATCCTTATCAACAGCAGTGCGCTTCGTGTGCACTGCTGAAAGGATGTTGTCTTCATCAGTGAGGGTGTCACCGTCCTCACTTTGGAGGTCATTGGCGATGCTGAATATGCCAGCATCGTCGTCATCATCGATATCAATCGCATCGACAGTGGCATCCATCATGTCGACATCATTTTCGACGTGTGATGAGCAAGAACCAGATCGGGTTTTGTTCGAGCGAGTCCCCCCCCTTAAACTAGAGTCACACTCTAGGAAGGTGGGTAAACGTGGATGGAGTAGGCCATTCACAAAGAACGGTGTATGCGTTGTAGACGCGTGCACCGAGTTGTTGATGGCGAATTCCGCCATCGGCAAGAACTCACTCCAGCTCGTAAACGAGTGGACATACCCTCGAAGTATCTCTTCGAGAACGCGGTTGACGCGTTCCGTTTGAACATCTGTTTCGGGATGGTCAGAAGTTGACATCGTCAAACGTGTTCCAAGTGAACGGAACACGGATTGTCATAACTCCGCTGTGAAGCGGGGGTCCCTATCGGACACGAGCTCACGGGGTAACCCGTGAAGTCGGAAGATAGTATCAATGAAGACACGCGCACGGCCCTGGGCTGTGATTGACTCCGGTACTGCAACAAGATGTACCATCTTGCTGAAACGATCAACAAACACAAGAATACCAGTATTCTTGTGAACTTCTTTGGGAAACCCGAAGACGAAGTCCATCGATACGGACTGCCAACACTCTGCCGGAATCGGAAGAGGCTGTAAGGGTGCGCGGGATGAAGGAACTAGGCTTCACCCGCTAGCAAACTTCGCAAGTGGGAATGCATTTCCGCACGAGCTCATACTGGCGGGGCCAGTAGAAGTCACGACTCACCATGAGGTAAGTCTTTTCTCTACCGCGATGCCCACTTGTTGGGGCATCGTGACACTCATACATGATGCGCAGTCGCAAATCGTTATGAGCCGGAACGACGACAGGAGGTGTGCCGCCGTTGTCTGCTGTATAGTACAGCAGTCCATCACGAACAGAATACCGTTCGGTTGAAGAGCGGTATTGAGGCGACAAGCTTTTCAATTCTTGATTACACGGATTGGATACGTAATCCATCAACCGCAGAAGAGACTCATCTTCTTTGTATGCTTTTCGCACTTCATCGAGCAGATTCGACGACGGAACACTCACTGTTAGTGTTGCTCCAGTGGGATCATCCCTGCTGTTGGGTTGAGCAGTCGGCTGGAAATCGGGCCGACGCGAAAGAGCATCAGCGACGACATTAAGTCGTCCTGGTTTACACTCGACGGAGAAGTTGTACTCCGCGAAGAAAGACAGCCACCTCGTCATTCGTTGCGAGAGGTGTGGACTGTTTACGGCCGTGCGCAACGACGCATGGTCGGTACAAGTGATGAAGGTCCTATCTCCTAAGAGATATACCCGAAACTTGGCCGGTGCATATTTCATGGCAAGGAGTTCCTTTTCATGCACCGGATAATTTCGCTCAGCTGCTTGCAGCTGACGCGATTTATAAGAGACGACGCGCTCAAAGCCGTCTGAGTCGTACTGCATTAACGCGCAGCCGATTGCAAAATCGCTGGCGTCACAGACCACATGAAATGGTCTATCCTGATATGTGATCGCCAACACAGTCGATTGCACCAAGCTTTTCTTGATGCCTTCAAAAGAGTGCTGACACTCAGCGCTCCATGATCACCTCTCGTTTTTCTTTAGTAGACGAGAGATGTACAGTCATCTCGGCATAGTTGCGCGAGTATTTGTTCAAGTATGCCGCCAAGAAAAGGAACTTTCGAAGTCCCTTGACGTCGACTGGCACAGGCCAGTAGCTAATCGCCTTGATCTTTTCCGGATCAGGGTGTACACCGTTTTACCCACGATGCAGCCAAGAAGTGGTATTTCGTTCGCTGCGAATATACACTTTTTGAGGTTCTCGAAGAACTTATGCTCTCGTTTTAGAGTAAGAACCTTCCGGACGTGTATTCTATGAACCTCCACGTCCGTCTTTCCATCCATAGCCCGTCTATGGACGAAGACATCGTCGAAGTAACTCGGTGCGAAGTCGCGCACCGATCGCAACAGATTCGTAACACATCTGTTGAACGTTGCGGGGGAGTTACTTAGCCCCTGTGGCATCACTAGCCACTCCCAGAGCATACCACTGGGGGTGCTCACTGCTGTGTAAGGGATATCCCGTTCACGCATGAGGATCTGATAGAATCCATCCATCAAATCCATGGATGAAAAGATGGTACTCTTTGCCATACCATCTATGATGACATTCTTTCTTGGGATCGGCGTTTGAGCCGGTAGTGTTGCAGCATTCAATTTGTTGAACGCGTGCACTATCCGCCACCCTCCTGTAGCCTTTCGCACACAGAAGGTCGGAGAGCTGTGTAGGGATGTTGATTCCCTCACATGACCAGCCGCTAATCGATCGGCAAAGAATTTGTCGACCGCCGTGACCTGTTCACGAGGCAGTGGCCACTGCTTCATGACACAGTATTTCGAACCAGGTTTCAGTTCGATTTCATGCCGATTGCCTTTGTCCTTGGGCAGCTCGCATGGCACGGATTCCGGGAAACATCCCTGAATTCCACCAAATCCTTATGCAAAGGATTTGTCTTTAAAGACTCCCAAGATTGAGACGTGTATCGATCAATTCGGGTCTTCTCATCGAGGACACTCTCGTCCATAGATGAGCTACTGAGAACCCGTTCGTTCTCAGCAAACACTTGTGCCGACCGAATATCGGCGATGTACTCGTCCTCTGTGACGAGTACGCAGATCTGCTTGATCTTGTCACTACGCAGATCTCGCAAGAATCTTTTAGATTCTATCGTTGGCAGCTTGACCACCTCCGAAGCTGACTTCGGGGGCGTCACCAGATCAAGTGTATAAGCGCCTACACTTGACCCGTCATTCACCAAGACATTAATTGACTCGGTGATTGCCTGGGTAAACACATCCGCAGGTGGTTGGGGATCCACACCCCTCAACATAACTCTCTCGGGAGTTATTGATCTCAGGAACGCCGGAATTTTCTTCCGTTACGTGGACTATCACGGTCGCGTCCTCTTCGATCGACTCTCTTTCAGTCGAGCGGGCTTGCTCTACGATCGACTCTCTGATAGTCGATCTCGCTTCAACGTGTTGTCCATCCTGAACAACACTACTCTCTCTTCTCGGATGCACCCTTCTTGGTGTGCATCCGTGTTCCAGTCCACTCGATATCTTCGAGTGGTGAACCCTCGGCGCAGCCTGTGTCTCTACACAGGTTCCGGAAGCTGGTTCCACAGTGCAGTGGCCTTCTACACTGTGATCTTGTGCAATCGTACTAACGACTGTACCACAAGTGAGGCCATCGCACTCACTCGCAGTACATCCACACGCTTGTGGACTCTCCACGACGTTCATCAGATGGCCATCCGATGAACAAACGGCAGGCATCTTCACGGATCGATGCTGCCGGCTAACCCATGGCTGGTACTTTCTAAGCCATAGCAGACCAAGGATGACATCAAATTTGTCATTTAAATCCAGTACGATAAAGTCATCATCGTACTGTTTTCCTTCTAGCGTGTAGTGGATTCTCACTACAAGTTTGTTCACTGTTACGGATGCGCCTGTAGCAAGGCACACCGTCATCTTCGTTGGAGGGAACTCTCGCTCAACATAGTTGAGCCTACTATCCCCCAGCGACTGACGTCGAATAAAACTGTTCGACGCACCACAGTCAACTAGGGCGCGAAGCTTTGAATATCGAAGTGACAAGTGACATTCCACTTGTCACTTCGATCTTCAAAGTGATGAGAGACTCCTCATCACTAAGGGCAGTAACACACAGAGACTGCGTGTTGGGAGCAATCTTCGTCAAGAGTCCTGCAAATTCTCTTGACGTTGCTGGATCAGCAGGGTGCTCCGCTCCTACTGACACTGAACGTTTTTAGACGGTCCGACTTGCTGTCGCGACTTGGCGACATGGTCGGACCCACGCCTCGGACATTTCCTTAGCCAACGGTGGTCATCACGTCCTGTCTTTGGACGTGATGCGGTACTCGGTACACTATACTTGTGGGCGTAGTGTCCAATCTTATGACAGCGGTGGTATCTTGCCGTTCGCTTGTGACTCAGAGAGCGAGAGTTCTCGCTCTCGATGTAACAGAGGTCCATTGGTTCGGGACCTCCTGTTTCCTGCCGCCTCGTCAGACGATAGTTTGACGAGTTAGCCTGAGACTGTCTCAGGCTGAAGTCTTCTTGTTCCGCATGCGCTATCTCCTTTTCCAGCGTATGGAAGTCCTCTCGGAACATGTAGGTCTTCACCGGACCATCCACAAGGCTGTAGATGAACGCGTTGATGAGCGTATGCTCATCAACAGGGTTCTCCGTAACGCTACTTGCAAGGTGGCGCAGGTGCTGTGAGTAAGCGTGCACGTCACGCTTACCTTGCTTTAGCCTCAAGAGTGCAGAGCGTGCTCTGAACTCGGCTCTCGGCGGCTCAAACGTCTCTTTAAGCCGAGACTTCAAGATCTCTAACGACTCAAACACGTTTGGGTCGTAAAGCTTGAGCCCTAAGGCCCAAGTCTTTGCTCGTCCCGTCAAATTCGACAGGGCGAAGGTGACTTGCATCTCGTCACCCTCTATGTGACGGGCCCGGACGACATCGTCTAACTCGACGAACCATCTCAAAAGGGGATCTTCGTCGGTTCCCTTGTTCTTTGAGATCTCAATCTTCAGGGTTTCGGGTGGACGCATGTGCGTCGGCCCGCCCATCGACTGATGAGATGCTTGCTGCTGTAGCAAGGCTATCTTCTGTCGTTTTACGGCAAGTTCCACTTGTAGGAACTTGTTAGTAGCAGCATGTTGCTAATCTCTGCTTAAAGACTCCAACATACCACTGATGGCGGGTTCGCCCGTGAGCACACTCATGCGGCCGACAACCTCCCATTCTGAGTCACTCTGATGGGAGTAGCCTTCACGTGTGACGTGAAAGCTGTCGTCTTCTACGTCCAACATGTTCATGTTGGACGGACACTAAGTAGTCGTTATACGGACTACGAAGTGCTACCAGGTGTTACGGGGCACCCTTTGTTTGGGGTGCCGCGAAACTTCACGTACACTAGTACGTGCAGAGGAAGCTAATCTACTTGAACGACTCGGTCAAGATAAGGTAAAAAGAGAACTGTATTTAATATAGTTAAGCTATCAATATAACCTCAGTCTTTATCTAATTATACCAATCTACATTGTCGTATGACAACAACCTGCTCACCACTCATTGCGCGCGTCAAGCAGCGATTGGTGGCAATCTATGGTTGATATGTCTTATATCAACCAATCTTGGAGCAGCGAATGAATACTATCCACAAGGGGATCATATTCCTTCAAAATTATCGATCTCGGATAATATTGGAAGAACGTTGTCATACTAGACAATATTCCTATTGACACCGTTTGGTGTCAACTTCATGTAGCTGGCTACTCCGTTACACCTAGCAATTTTCTGACGTATCCGAGGTCGTTAATCGATAATTACACGAGACTTTCGAAAAGTCAGTCGACTTTATCTGCACTCATTCCGGCCAATAAAAGGTTGTCCACACAGAAGCCCACGACGACGAGATAATCTTCTTCGTTCATCCAGTAACAACACGTATCACCTTCACAGCGATTGCATCCTGCCTCGACAAGACGCTCGTGCAAAGCTGGCTCCATATTCAATCAGCCTGCTTCAGTCCATAGAGGCTCTTTCGCAGCTCCAGGACAAGTTCCTCCGCACCCTGTACGCCTGGTTCACGCATACGTTCGTCTAAAATTCAAATCCCGCGCGACCCATGTATAGATTTGTTTGTAGATGCTCTTCCTTATCTGCCTTGACATACGCACTGGGGATGTCGCCATACTTGGCAGCCCCCCCCCCACGTAGTAGCAAGCGCCAGTACAATATCGATAAATGACAGGTCCATATTTGCAGCGAACGTGAGGCTGAAGTCGACTCCCAGCACTTGTTCGTTGCCGCAGGCAGTAAGGCGCGCCTTCAATTGTTAGTTCTTTCCTTGCTCGTCAGTCTTGGTCCTAAATACACACTTGGTATGCAAGGCGTTAGAGACAGCGCAAGCTTGACAACCTGCCATACTTTGTACTTTTTAAGTGCCCCTACTTCTTCTTCCATCGCCTTAAACCATTCGTGGCATTTGTTGCTACACATGTCTGCACTGCAGTTGGTTGGTTGGATTCTTTTCGAAAGCAGAATTCATAACACCACCGCTTGATTTTGACTCATCGTGAAGTGTTAATGTCTGCGCACGCTTTGAGGAACCGCGCGAGCCGTATTCAGCCCCTGTCTATGTCTTCTTGTTATTTATTCGCGCTTAAATGCAGGTTACATTGCTTGTGTCGATGACGTTGCTGATATTAGTCGGGTATAGCAACGTCCTCGTCATCATCGACTATCGCTCTCTGAAATTGCGCGTTCTGTGCTCCGGACAGCGTGTCGATGTTCTTGACATGCTGCATTACTATCACCTCATTTTCCTTGCACAGATGACCCTTTACCCTTGGCTTAATTGTTTATCCCGACGATTTTAGCAAGCTGCGCACGTTTTTTTGGCGAGTTCTTGCTTATGTCGCGATACAAGCTATAGACAGATCCGAATACGACCATCTTACGCAGATCCGGCACCATTCCAGTAAACACTACTAACGGAAAAGCTCGCTTCACCTTTGCGCGCGTAGGTCTGCGAATCAAAATGTGCGAAGCGTACTGAACCGCATCTCCCCGAAAGTGTAGTGTTATTCTGCACGCAAAAATCATGCTTCGCGCTAAACAAAGCATCATTATGTGCATGCTGTAACGGGGTGAATCGTTACATAAAAATTTATAAGAAATTGTTAATAGAATATAACTATAAGAGTTATATTCTCAGAATATTGTCGTAAGGGCGAATATTCTGTAGCACTTACGAGTAGTTCCTAATTGGTTGATATAGGCCATTATATCAACCAACGAAGACGCGCCACGACAGACGCACGCAATGAGTGGTGAGCAGATAACTGATTTACACATTTGTATTTAGACATAGTTAGATGAAGATAAATAGTGATTTATTGCAGACATTAACTATGATAAATACAGTTCTACTTTTTACTTTAACCAAGTACTCGCTTCTTCGTACCGTCTTCCTCTGCACGTACGAGTGTACGTGAAGTTTCGAGGCACCGCCTTATTCTGTCATCAGAATAAGTAGCTTGTACTGTCATCAGAATAAGTAGCTTGTACTGTCACTAGTACAAGCTTCAGGGTGCCCCGTTACACATGCGCTCTGCCTTGCCATGGCAAGACTATTTTTCTACTTCCAAAACTTTTCTTGTTACCCCAGTCTCCTTGCAAAAGAGGTCAAATTTGGCGTACTCTGCACCGCCGTCAGTCTTCAGCACGAAATTCCGCAGTTGACTCGCTTTTCGGAGAAGACGAGGAAGGCCTCGAACTGCTTAGCCGCTACATCCTTCGTCTGCGCAAGAAAAAGTCGGCTGCAATTTGATTTGTGGTCGACAAAAATTAACCAAATTTTGGTTTCTGAGCCTTTCAATTTGAACAGATGAATTTGCCGACTCAATCGATAGGCGCTTTGGTGCCACTATACTCCTGTTTTTGGGTGTTGTGCGTCAGCTTACCATCCATGCACGAGACACACGCCACGTGCTCATTGCTTGTTAGTCTTACCCCGGAGGCTGGTTCCCGAGCCACACGCTCGATGGTGTCAAACGCCAGATTTCCAAGCCGAAGATAAAAGTGTAACAGCGTGCCTTCTTGCATATCGCTTGCAACATCTGCACTTAAATCTAATCCGAAAGCATCCATGATGGTGTCTCCTGCTCTCTGCCTCTCCCTTTTCATTGACACCTTTGTGATGAAAAGCAAGGTTTATACTTAAATTCGAGCGCGATGGCACCGTCGCTTCGACGAGTGAACGCGCATCTTATCCTGTCGTAAGTTACAGAAAAAAACCTAATTAATTTTTTAGCTTGCCGTACGAGACGATGTTTTTTCAAGTTTTGGTGCCAGATACACATTCGTAAGCTCGTAGCACTTCGTAAGCCACGATGCTCTTCATGCCGCGAGCTGTCATTGCTAGACGCATGCTGCCGAATCAAGTCAGGTGCAGGATCTATCGATCAGCCATTGCAATATATCAGCTACAGGCAGTCGAGTCGTTCAATAACTTCTCGTCGCTTACGAAAAGTCGAATCGCGCCACTGTAGATTAACTAGTCGCTCCGATCGCACACATCCAAGTCGTTCGATGCAAGTAACATCTCCCGCTTGATCATCCTGCTATGCACCATTATCTTCAATCTCTCTTTCATTTTCGTTTTGCGTATGCGAGCACCATACCGCTACCTACGCTGTCGTCCTTCGGACCTCCGCTTCTTCTTCTTTTAACTGTCACCTTTTTTGGGGGTTGTGAGGTATATTAAAGTACGTTCGCCGACTTAAAATATCCGTTCGACAGCAACCTAATGGCTGCGTCGCCTTCATGTAAGGTTCTAATTCAGTTCCGCCGTGTAAAGCAGAGGCGTGCTGTTCAGGAGACCAAGGAGGATGCGCACGACGTTCGAGCGGCGCAGGAGACCCTAACTGAATCTCATATTCTGCTGGTAGCGACATTTCGCACTAGCGGTTAATATCGTGGTCCATGCTCGCTCGAACAGAGCAAGCGAAAGGCCCAGTCTGGACAGTGCTTTTTCCTAAGGCTTTCTCATTTGCAGCCGTAGCAGTAGCTGCATCGGCATCCTTAAGGTTGTACTCGCGGGAGTGGTGGGTTCAGCTAATCACAGAAAGAGCATCTGCGATCTTTCGGGCCTCCCGGTAGAGAGTTGAGAGCTTGGGCCGGACTAGTCACCGACGCACTCGAAGCTGGTTTGTAACGGGGTGAATCGTTACATAAAAATTCATAAGAAATTGTTAATAGAATATAACTATAAGAGTTATATTCTCAGAATATTGTCGTAAGGACGAATATTCTGTAGCACTTACGAGTAGTTCCTAATTGGTTGACATAGGCCATTATATCAACCAACGAAGACGCGCCATGACAGACGCACGCAATGAGTGGTGATCAGATAGTTGATTTACACATTTGTATTTAGACATAGTTAGATGAAGATAAATAGTGATTTATTGCAGACATTAACTATGATAAATACAGTTCTACTTTTTACTTTAACCAAGTACTCGCTTCTTCTTACCGTCTTCCTCTGCACGTACGAGTGTACGTGAAGTTACGAGGCACCGCCTTATTCTGTCATCAGAATAAGTAGCTTGTACTGTCACCAGTACAAGCTTCAGGGTGCCCCGTTACACCTGGTAGCACTTCGTAGTCCGTCCAAGGACCACGTTCACATCTAACATGAATATGTTGGATGACGAAGATGACCAAAGCTTTCACGCTACGCGTGACGGCTACTCCCATTTGAGCGATGTCGAATGGGATGCGGTTGAACGAATGGGTTCAACCATGGGCATCCATGCTGTTAGCGTCATGCTAGAGGCTCTCAATAGAGATGCCCAACATGCTACTATCGCCAAGTTCATTCAAAATGAACTTGACGCAGAACGCGAGAAAGTAGCCTTGCTTCACCAACAAGGTTCTCAACAAGCAGAGTTGTTGAGAGAACAGGGTGCTCAACAGTTTGAACTGTTGAGACAGCAGCAGGCTGCTGCTGGTGGGTCGATGCACTCGCGTCGACCCGAAA